CACCTAAAACTAGTTCAGCAGTATACACAAATTGCTTATTTATCTAATTTATTTTATTATTCATATTTCTATGCCGCCCACTCTCCGAGGACTCTGGGCAGCTTACACCAAAGACAGTATACTAAATAGAATATTGCCCCCAACAATCTGGGTCCTCATTTTACCCACCTCGGAAGGATGGAAGGCTGAGTCAACCTTGAGCCGGTGAGATTTGATCCACTGACCTGCTGAACTAGCATCAAGCCATGTGGTCCCTTTTTTTCAGGCTCAGTCTTTTGGGGTAAGATTCTGATTATTTGAGAAGTATAACTGGCAATTAGTACAATAACTAACATCTCAGTGAAAGTATATTGTACTAGTATTGGTTATAGTCTTCAACCAATTTGTAATGCAATTCAAAAGTATTTTCCTGAATTTTCAATAATGCATTGACCTTTTAAATAATTAAGCAGGGTAGTTACCCTGCTCTTTTCACTCACATAATGTCTGTGGATTGCTTTCTTTATTATCACCTAATGTATGATTATCTAAAGCAAATTTTCTATAACGTAAAATGTCCAATTCCCCCCCCCCCCATTATTCAAGGTACAAAAGAATACCAGAAAAAATACACTATTCACTTTTTTGGTGGCAATTCTTAAAATACAAGTATAAATATCATTAGATATTAGATATCACTATTAGATTTCAAGTTCAAAAACAGTGAATTATTCTTCATATACTCTTATCATTTTGCTGGCAGAGGTAGAAGAACCGTGGTTCAATTTCACTCAGATAAAGTATGAAGCCATTTCTATTTAGAAGTGTTTTACATGCAATTTTAACAATTGTGCTTTTCAAATTTTACAGCATTGCAGTTAAAAATCTTGGAAACACTTTACTGTATGTTAATCCTCCATATACTTAAATATGCATGTCGTTTCCTAAACTATCGACCTAGTGCAAAAATATAGTAATTAAGAATCCCAGATCTCTCCAAATTACCTGCAGAAAAAGTTAATCAACTAATTTAACTTTAGAAACTTCAGTTTCTCTGGTGATGGAGAATTTACCATTAAAAACAAAGTTAATTCTACATATTTATGGAGTGCAACTTTATTTATAGTTCATATTTCTAAAATGCCAGAAGACAATTTCTAGATCAAACAGTATTTCCTCTGACTTATATTTTAATTGTTTCTATAAGTATTATTACAGGATCACATTAGGAAAAAAACCCGAGCTTTTAAATAGCTGGTATACTGAAAAGTCAACTATTAAATTAATTATATGTAGAATAAAGGGATTATCTAGACATGGGTTTTTAAAAAAAATACCGGCCTATGAATATGTACCCACTAACCATAACAGAAAAAAGAAATACTTTTAGCCATTTTTTTCTTTCCACTCCAATCAACTGTAGATGGATGAGAACCAGATAAGAAACAATGTGGAGCATTTCAACAGAAAGAAAAAGAAAACTGCAAAAATAACCTTCTGTTATAAAGATCATCTGCTGGACAAACAGCCCTGCATTTCATATTGTTTTTCTATGAACAGAAAAACCTACAAAGCTCTTTATTAATATGAACAGTTACTTTTATAATGAAAAATAGAGTCTGAGCCTAATCTATTTAGTTTACTGCTTTCTCTAAATGCCGAAAAGATGCAGCATTACTATAACTGACATTATTTCAGTATTTAACTAAACACGCATTGATTTTGTATGTATTGCCCTCTCCTCCCAATAGCATTTCCATAGGGAAGTCCCAAATGTACTTTTTCACTGGACTTTGTTTTTCTTTGGAAATGTTTTGCTTCTCATCCATTATAAATATAAATCCTTCCATTCTCTACCATTCAATCAGAACTGAAGAAAGCTATCTTGGATAAGAAGTGAAACGTCTCCAAAGGAAAACAAAGACAGTCCAGTTGTTTTGAAAAAACACCTTTGGGACAACCATAACTTGGATGACTGAAAATCTCTATAGACATTTCCACACAGGGAACTACTTATGAAATCCACACAAATTAGTTTGATATTCAAATTTAATAAAGGAAAAATAGTTCTTCTGAGGAAACTTCATACAAATTCTCCCTGGTTAACTTACTTTCCACATATGACTATTAGCCAAATTTACAAATATGTGAAATTAAAGCTGCTTCTTCAAATAAAAAATATTTTGAACCATTTTATTTGAAATAAAATAAAACCAGGATGTTTGAGAACTAAGTTAATAGATATGAACTACTGTGTAGTAAATACTTCATTGTTGTAGTTATGTTTTTTCTGAAGATTAATTGTAGGGCCTCAAGTTTCTAGTAAAATGCAATGACCCCATTTGTTTTCTACCTAGACTAGGCACAAATGATAAGTTTTAAAAATACATTGAGAACTTCATATCACACAATTGGAAAAAGGCATTATAATTATATTAACTATAAGCACCTAGCTTCTAAAAATATGTAAACATGAGTATTGGGAAGTTACACATTTTACAATGAATATATTAACCTTTAGCACAAACTCTAAACTAATATTCAAAATTCAAAATGAACTTACATTTCATTTTTTAAACTAAGATTTGTAATAAAAATCCTATCCATATTTATTCAGAAATTTAAGTCTCAATGTGCTCAACAGGACCTTATTCTGATCCATTAAGTCAGGGGTTCCCAACCTTTTCTATTCCCCACACCCCTAGAACACTAATATATTTTCACACCCCTTACAAAAATAAATAATTATATGCATATAATTATGCATATACACTATAATTTTCAAACTTCTAAACCCAATTTTTCACACCCCCTGGAATATTGTCTCACACCCCCAGGGGGTGCAAGCACCCCAGGTTGGGAACCCCTGCATTAAGTGAATTTAGGACTGCACTCTTTCTTAAAGTTATAGCCTCTTGCTCTCTCTACTTAACCTTAACTTACATGTTTGTATCATGGTATCATATTTTGAAAGGAAGATGGTAATATATCTGCACTTTGTGTAAGGATTTTGGAAATCTAAAAGTAACTTCCAATGTTACCAATCTCTAATCTTTGTAGCAGCTCTGCAAGTTTATCAGTGTAATGCCTCCCAAACTACATTAAGTTTGCACGTTTTAAAACAATGACTAGAGAACGCACAATGGAGACGAGATGTGAACAGGAAAACTCGGCTCATATTACACACTTATAGCAACTGATCGTGACCGAAGAACCTCCGCTACAAGTATTCTCCGCCTCTTAAACTTAGGATGTGACTATTTAATCACGTCCTAAGGAAAAGGACAGGAAGTTGGCTACTTGCTTGCTTCCCCCCGTTTCCTTCCAGACACTGGATTTCACCTCTCGTTTACAGTGGAAGGCCTTGCGGCTTTTATTGCGCTACACTTCGTAGCTTTAATCTAGCCTCTCCTCTTCCATTCACGACGTCCGCCTATTCCGGCTTTCACTCTCAAGCCCCTTCGCCGCCAGTTAACAGCAGCAGCAGCAGCAGCCCTCGCGGCCTAAAAATGGCGGAAACGGCTGGGATCTTCCGACGTACTGGGTGCTTCCAGGCTACTCCCCAATTTTCTTGATGTGAAACACTCACAAAAAACAGCCGCTCACGGAGTTTTATACCGTGGGGCCTCGACGTCCCGAACAATCTTATCCCGGAAGCTGCCGCCTCACGAGCCGTCTCTGCCACAATCCGCCATCTTCCCCAGCAGCGACTGGAGACGGTGCACATGATGAACGTCATCAGGTACACCAACCAAAAGTAGGCGGGCAGAGGTAAGACTTCAGGATACGCATGCGCCCTTTGATAGAAGCTCGTTACGGCATCTTTTTGCGACTACCATGGAGTAGTGCGATAGGGGCTTCCGGCTAGCTTTCCGGAAAGGGAAGTGTTAATGTAAACCAAAGAACGGAAAGGGAAACAATATAGGCTTATAGTTTCAAAAAGTCACAATTTCAGCTGGGTAAGAATATACTTATGGTTGAATGTCAATTAATCACTGGCAAACAAAAGTAGTAAGTTGTCAAACATAAAACGAGATGCTTACATGGAAGAGGATAAAAGTATTCGCGGAAAAATTAATCACGTTATATTACTGCCTCGTAAGTAAGAATCACCCATTCTGTTTAATGTTATTAAAAAATATACAAAGAATTATTTAACATTGAGTAGGGACATCATTATTAAAATTATATTCATTGCTGCAAGGAGGTTGTGTGTTAAAATAGTATCTGCTCTTACTCTAAGTGTTATTTGTGACACTTGAAGAAAGTCATTGAAACAGTTCGTTTACAGCCTGCCTTGGGAAGTAGTATTTTTGGTAATGTGTAAGATAACATCTATAATAACTGCATTTCTGTTTCAAGCAAGTAATTTCTATGAACTAAGAAGCAATATGAATAGATAATGCACTAAACTTGGTCCTTTAATAATATGCACTATTGCTTTCCAATCTTCAGTTTAAAAAAAAACTAGAATCATTTTATTTCAAATGCATGTGAATTCAAAATGCATATATTGTAAATATTTAATATAATACAGGTAGTCCTCCACTTACAACAGTTCATTTAGTGCACACTTAGAGTTACAACGGCACTGGAAAAAAGTGACTTATAACTGTTAACCATAACACTTACAACAGTTGTGGCATCCCCATAGTCATGTGATCAAAATTCAGATGCTTGGCAATGGTTCATATTTATGATGGTTGCAGTTCCCAGGTCATATGATCATTTTTTGCGACTTTCTCAGAAGCAAAGTCAGTGGGGAAACCAGATTCACTTAACAACCGTGTTACTAACTGCAATGATTCACTTAACAACTGTGGCAAGAAACATTCTAAAGTAGGGCAAAATTCACTTAACAAATATCTCACTTAGCAACATAAATTTTGGGGTTAATTGTGGTCATGAATTGAGGACTACCTGTATTTCAATAGCAAAAACATTAGATGTAGTTTAATAATAAGTAATCCCCTTTCTGCTTCCCATCTTTAAAAAAAATGAAAAAGAACAGTCACAAGATCTTAGTTAAAAATATTTTACTTTAATTTTCAATTATTTTTGAAGGAGAAAACTGAGTCTGAAGAACAAGCACAATAAAACCCCATAGGTTTATCTTGATTCTACTGTACTGCTACGATTATCAAACAGCAATATGAATTAAATATAGTAATATTTATCCTACTTTACACACATCATATTCAAATTGGTATTACTGGATCCAAAAACTTATTTGCACTCCTAAAATCAAATTATGTTTAATATTCACTTCCAATCAGGTAAAACCTTCCACAGTTCTGCGATTCATGCCACTCAACTGTTTAAATTCTTCATATTTAAAAACTTCATAAAATTGGAAAACATAACTTGGTCAAAATACAAAATACTATATTAATATGTGTTGACCTCAAAAAGAGTACAAAGAAACAAGAATGAGATCAATTCCCCACCCCACCCCACCCAGTTCAGAAGAATCTGGCAATTCATTTTAATATTGAAAGCTTCGTTTGGTCTGTATGTCATCAAGAATTTGCTGCAACTCTTCATCTTCAAACCGACCCTCTAAGCTGAAAGATAAGAATAAGCAGTGTATTTCTGTTTATAAAAAAAGTTCTGATATATCAACTCTCAAAAAGAACTGCAAGACACCAATCTCGAGAATGGAAAGAAACTAGCAATAAAATATAAGGAGTTTTTCCTCTCAATATTATTTAAAGCTAGACTAATTCAATTTAGACCAGACATGTCACTAGTCAAAAATATCAAATTTCTCCCCTCCACCTTGGTATTGTCTTATAACACATATTTTAATTATTAAAATATGATAAAATTATAAAAACAGATTAGTTGAAAACTTCAAACAGTAATAAGGAATATATTTAAACAAGGGTGTATTCAGGTTTCCTCTACCTGTTTTTTGTTTGATAGAATCAAACTTATAAATAATTTTAATTAAAACAGAACATAAATATAGCTAAGAAATTCAATTTAGAAATTTTAAAGGCTATTTTTCCAATTAGATCCATATTTTTAATTTCATAATATTATAGTATTTGACTGAAGAATAGATAGTTAAGTCTAAATGCTGTTTCTTAACTAGATGAGGAGATTATAACTCTTTTTCTGGTGTTTGAGGATTCAAATTCACTAGTATCATCACAAGCTTACCTTTTTAATTAGGGCAACTCACCTGGGAATTAAAGCTTTGGCCTCTTCAGCTGTTTCAGGACCTAGATTAGCTAAACATGCTAGTTCAAATTTATGGAGTTTCTTCTGGAGCAATAAGCTGAAAGAAAAAAAAACAATTTAAAACTGAAAAGATGTAGATTTGTACTGCGATAAAAAAAGTTTTTTTTACAGTACCTCATACTTTCAGTGCAATGTTACTATCATTCATGCATGTGAGAGTATGATATAATCTAAAATAGAATTAGAATAGCCTTTATTGTCATTGTACATCATGTATACAGCGAAATTGGTTTAGCTTCTACTGGTGCAATCCATAACAGAAAATACAAGACAACATGAATAGTATAGAGAATAATCCTTATACAAGTAATTTGGGGGAAAAAACTAGCCATACGTTTCTATATGTATGTGGAGTGATTGTGATTGTGTTTAGGAGTCTGACAGCGCATGGTAGAAGCTGTTTTTAAATGTTTGGCTGGCTGGCTATGCTTCGATGTCCTCCCCGATGGTAAAAGTGAAAAGAGACACTGGCCAGGGTGTGAATCATCCCTAAGTATCTTCCTTACTCTGCTGAAATAGCGAGACCTGGTGATGTCATCCAATGGTGTTAGAGAGCAACTAATGGTTTCTTGTGCCGAAATGATAGTGCCTATCTATAGTGCCTTCCTGCCCGCAACTGTTAAACCAGTGTACCATACTGTTATACAGTATGTGAGGACACTTTATCATGGACTGATAGAAAGAAGTCATCAGCCGTTGTAACACTTGATTTTTCTGTAGGACTCTAAGGAAATGAAGTCTCTGTTGAGCCTTACTAACCACCAGGGATGTGTTATTTTTCCAGGTGAGATCTTGACTAATGAGCACTCCCAAGAATTTAAAAGAGGAAACCCTCTCCACATGGCCCCCTTTGATATACAGTGGGGCAAGTTCCTCTCTGTGCTTCCGGAAATCCAGCACCATCTCCTTTGTCTTGCTAATATTTAGATATAAGTTGTTTTTGAACACCATGTGGATACTTTCTGGACTTCTTCCCTGTATGCTGACTCGTTCCCTCCTACAGTGCAATTCAAGAACACATCCACAAGCACCCAGAATATATTTATGTGTGTGGGTATACTTTATATAAAAATCTTTGCATCAAAAAATAACACTTCTATATTAACATTGGCTTGATATATAACACATCAATTACAGTTACATCATTTTAACTGATTTTTTTTTTACTTTGTGTCTGTTCTGATCCATAACTATCCATAACTTGAGGACTATATTGAACAAGTTTGGAACTTTACTGTCTTGCACTTACTTGAAGACTATATTGCCCTCAAGTAAGTGGAAGACAGTAAAGTTCCAAACTTGTTCAATTATTCTGTCCATTTCTATTTATGATAGTATCTATATATTTTATTTATATTATTTGTATTTATTATATTTCTAACCCATCTTTATTTTGTACAACTCAAGGTGGTAAATACATTGCTTCAACTTGTTTCCTCAATACCTAAGACAAAGTTATATTGCTCTCCAAATCTAGATTGTCATTTATCACTTTTTATTTAACTTTGGGATGATTACGAATAGAGTTCTTATTCACTGAAAAAGAAGACTGCTGTATGCTGCTGCTGCTGTATTCTCCTACCACTCTCTACCCGTTGATGCCACTCTAGCTGACCTTCATTGTGGCCTCCCTTCTCCTCCACCAAACGGCCTCAAGTTCCACATCACAGGGGCTGTTGGCCATGCTGTGCAGGGCATCTTTGCCTCTTGCCACCAGCACCCTGGATCTTGGTGGGCTTACCTCACTTTAACAACCTCAGTCTGCCACCAGCTAGGAGGGCTCTTTATGCTCTGTGCATTGTGGTCCCACGGAAGACAGTTCCTCCACTGATATTGAGATCAGTAGGGACGACTGCAAGTGGTGATCATGTAACTGCAAGGCATTTGGTAACTGGTCATAAGTTGCCAGGCACCCAGATTGCGATCATCTTCCCTTGATTGTGTGTATGACAGTTGGAAGTGCATTACAGGCTACAAAGCACCCGTTCTGAGGCATTGTAATTTCAAAAAATTGCTAAGCGACCATCATTAGGCAAGGACTATTTATCAAATAGTAAAAAATAATTTTGTGCTAAATTCTATCCTTTTTCAGTTTAAAAGGACCATATTAGCTCTCTTATTACCTTAATTAATTTTTTTAAAAAAAAAAAAAACCTAACTCACCTGCGGACACTAGCAATTGTCTCCCGGTTTTTGAAGCGGCTGAAGCGACCTGTATAATTCAAAGTTTTCATAAACAGTTCAGAAAGTTCTTGCTCATCTTCTACACTCTCATTCTGCTGTTTCCGATGTTCCAGAAGCATGTGCACTTCTGAATTTAGAAGAGTTTCAGCAGTTTCAAATTCTGCATGGTAATATAGGTGCCAGGGGCATAGATTAAAAAAAAGAAAGAAAGATACATTAATATTGGTATTAATTCTTGACTGTATGCAAAGCAACAGCATGATAGTGTTTCAAGCTGTGAGTGAAAACTACTTTACCTAAATGCATCTCCACATCAAACAGAAATAAAGCAAACCATCAATCCGTATGTAGAAAATGTAAGTTTGAAAGATTCTAGTTATTGTTTCGTGTACATCTTTGTATCACCTGACAGAAACTTTTACATATGTGAAAGAACTGAAAATGTGATTTCTTCTTGAAATGATAAGCAAGTTAGTTTTTATCATCCCCATTCTGCAGCAAAGCATATATCACTTCTTACAATAAATCTTACAATAATCTTCTAGATATAAATGTACAAAGCACACTGTAAAATTTATGATACATCATCTTCCCTAAAACTTTCATATATCCAACTATCAATTTCAAAGCTTCATCTTATATTAGCAATGGCATTCACATATAAATGTTTATATTACTGCAGATTCAGAAAGGTTGTGATCCCCAGTCACTTTAAACAATAGAACTTGTAAACGTTACCTTGATATTCACAAGTTTCAATTCAATTAGATAAGCATATATCTCCACTATTGGTAGAACTGATAACAAGTGAAATAGCTGCCAAAAGAGTAATACCTTAGTTTTACAGACAAAAAATAATTAAAAATCTCCAATTATTCCCAAAATATAGGTAGTCCTCAACTTACGATCACAACTGAGCCCAACATTTCTGTTGTTAAATGAGACATTTGTTAAGTGAATTTTGCCCCATTTTACAATCTTTCTTGTTGTTAACAGTGATTCACTGTTGTTAAGTGAATCACTGCAGCTGATAAATTGGTAACACGGTTGTTAAGAGAATCTGGATTCCCCACTGATTTTGCTTGTCAAAAGGTTGCAAAGGGTGATCACATGAACTTGGTAAACAGCAACGGTTGTAAGTATGAACCAGTTGCCAAGCATCTGAATTTTGATCATATGATAATGGAGATGCTACAAAGGTAAGTGTGAAAAATGGTCATAAGTCATTTTTAGTGATGTAAGTAACTTTGAATGGTCACTAAATGAACTGTTGTAAGTCAGTTAGGGCCTGGTGGCTCAGCAGACTGATAGCATTGTGATTAACACCAGCTGTCTGCAATTACTGTAAGTTCGAATCTCACCAGGCTCAAGGTTGACTCAGCCTTCCATCCTTTCTAAGGTAGGTAAATTGAGGACCCAGTTTGTGGGGGCAATAAACTGACTGTATAAATATACAAAAGTATGAAGGCTATTGCTTAACGCATTGTAAGTCGCCCTGAGTCTCCGGAGGAGGGCGGCATATAAATCAAATTAAAAAAAAATAAATAGTCAAGTACTGCCTGTATAAGTTATGTAGTTCTTCACAAAAAATGTTGCCAGTCAATTATCCTCTGCATGTATGTAGTAGTAGGACTAATAGATGATTATAATCATCTATGGAATTATGGAATTATAGGAGCCTTGGTAGTACAGTGGTTTAATGCACCCTGTAATTAACACAGCTGCCTGCAATTTCTGCAGGTTCAAATCTTACCAGGCTCAAGGTTGACTCAGCCTTCCATCCTTTCTAAGGTAGGTTAAATGAGGACCCAGTTTGTGGGGGCAATAAACTGACTTTGTATAAATATACAAAAGTATGAAGGCTATTGCTTAACGCATTGTAAGCCGCCCTGAGTCTCCGGAGAAGGGCGTCATATAAATCAAATAAAAATAAAAAATAAAAAAATAAAATAAAATAAATGACGATAAATATAGAAAAGGATTTCAAGCAGTCCCCCACCCAGGAAAAGCCAGAGATCTTAGCTTTAAATTTGCTATCCCTTGTGCTCTAGCCCACATAACTAGCATGGAATGAGAACAAGAGCGGGCTTTGAAAGGCATGGCAGGGTCTTTTTATACATCTGATATGGATAACACTAAATTGCAAGGTATCCCCATCTTATGCCACCCACCCCCCTCCCCGCCAGGTCAGCTTTTAAATTCGCAGCCGCACAACCCTTACAATTCTGAAGAGCACCAGACGGGAAAAGACTATTAAATGATCCTCAAGATTGTCTAGTAATACAATCTCGTTCTAGTTCTTCTAAGTCCCTACACGGGAATCTCCCTTAGGCAACCTTCCTTAGTTTCTCCGGCTGCTTTAGTCTCCCCAAGACTTTGCCGCTCACCCTTGGGAAAAACAAGCTGCGATGCATCCTCTTCCACATCTACGGCCCGAATGTCAGTACCTCCTACCGCCATCGTTTCATCTGGCCCCCCGAACGCAGGCCGGAAATACGAACAACGAGCAAAAACACGGGCGACTAGCACCGACGCCCCCAGGAGGAGGCAGAACAAACCGCTTCTTCCATGACGTTGGCCTCAGAGGGACGGAGGGAAAAACCGGGCGTAATGCTGAGAGCAATTCGCTCGTGTTGTAAAGCGCGCGCTTGTCCGAAATAAATTAGCTGATGTGTTCCATAGAATCCATACATCCTCCTCATAAGGGAATTCAGGGTTTGAAAGCTTTAGTTCAGTGAGGTTTACATCTTTTTTTAAAATTTATTTATCTTATTCTATTAGAAAGGGAGACTAGTCTAAAACATGGAGAGGATGACAAGAAAAAAAGTCAGAAAATATTACTAGGCTACCTTAGGGTTATTCGTTGCCTAATTACCAAATCCTTGTAAATGTTTATTCAAATTGATCTCGTTGCTATCAGTATGATTTATTCCGAAGTGAATGGATATAATACATGTTTCTGAGTATTTTGCAGGTTTGATAGTCCCCAACATTATGTAGTTCGCCATGAAAATTATTCACAATAAACCTTTCAAAACACCTTTTCTTTTCCTGTAGGTTAAGGTGACTGAAACTTGTTTTGGAAAATTACTTTTCTTGCATCCTCCCTCCCCCCCCCCCACTCCAGGTTGTAAATAATCTTTATTGCATGCAAGTTTAATTTTCTGGAATCTACTAGAGTGCTCAATTCAATGCACAGGATTTGCTTTCTTTGCAAAAGCCTCATACAATATAATTCCTGATAATCTCCAATTGAAAGGAGAAGGTAGAAGGCATAGGGTTTTCTGCCTGAGTAGGGGGTTGGACTAAAAGTCTTCCAAGGTCCCTTCAAATTCTGTGATTCTTATTTTCCGCATCATTTTTTCAGGTCATCATTTTCAGGCAATAGTATTGTATCATTTGCATACTCAAATTAATTATGGTTATTCCTCCAATCTTCAGGCCCAAATCAAGTACTTCCAGGTCTAATTTCGGCATGATCACTTCAGCATACAGATTGAAAAAAAATAGTGATAAAATGCATCCCTGTCTAACTTCCTGACTGATCCCAAACCAATTTAATCTTGCTTTCATGAGAAATCAATGCAATTGTGCAATAGTTGGAGCAGTCTCTGGCACCACCTTTCTTTACTAATGGGATAAAAACAGATCTTTTCTAGTTGTAAGGCCATTGACATGTAGACCATATTTCTTGACATAGGGCCATGAATTCCACAGGTATTCATTCCATCAATACCTGGAACTATCCAATTCAGCAATTTCTCCATAGCCCATTCTACTTCTTTCAAGAAGTTTGGTTCTTTATTAATTGGGCTGTCATTATTGTCATCTTGATGGTAAATCAAAACTGCTGTAGAGTTCTTCTATATATTCTTTCCACCTGTTCTTGATCTTCTGCTTGTCATTTAGTACATTCCTATTGCAGTCTTCAACAATTCCTTGCCATGCTAAAAAGCTGAATCGAATCATTTTCACTAAAGCAAATATGACCTTATTATGCCCCTTCCTGTTCTCTTCTTCCAGATGTTGACACTGCTTCTCCCACTGCTTGTTTTTGTCTTTCCGGGCTTCACTTGGAAAATTGCATTTAGCCTTTTAACCTCATCTTTATTATCTTTGGCTTTGGCCACCCTACACTAATTAGCTATTTTGATAGTACCATCAGATATCATATCTTGTTGTTCTCTTTGGTTTTTGGCATGACACATTTTCCAGCAGTTTTCATGATGCTACTTTGGATCTCTTGCCACTGTTCATTTGGATCTTTCCCTTCTAGATTCAGTGATTCAAATCTATTCTTAAATTCTGTGATATACATAGGTGACATTTTGTCCACATTGAATTGTGGGGGGATGGGGATAGTACCTTTTTCACTTTGCATAGTTTGAGCTACAGCTTAGCCAATAATAGCTGATGGTCTGAGCTACAATCAGTGGCAGGAAGCATCTTAATAGATGCAATTGAACCTTTTCAGCATCGTTGGCATAAAATGAAGTCTATCCGATTTCAATGTTGTCCATTTGGTGCTGTCCATGTGTATAAACATCGCTTCTGCTGAATAAACCACACATTCATTACTCCGAGATGATTTTCCTGGCAAAATTGGACTAGGCAATTGACAGCTTCAATCAGTTCACCTATCCCAAACTTGCCTACTATTATTGCAATTTCTCCTTGGCCTACTTTTGCATTGAAATTGCCATAATACGCAAAATATCCTTTTCTGGTATTTGCATGAGAGCACATTGAAGCTCACTGTAAAAAAGTTCAATTTTATCAACATTTAAGTCTATAGCTGGAGCATAGATTTGTAGTATGGTAATGTCGAGTGGCTTGCTTTGAATTTGGATAGATATTATGCAATCACTGTATGCTCTGTGATTTTCAACACATTTAGTAACTTGTTTGCTTATGCAGAATGCAGCTCCTTTTCATCTGATACTGTTTCCAGAAAAATAAACCATAAACTCATCTGATTTAAATTGACCGCTGCCTGTCCAGTGTAATTCACTGATGCCAAGGATGTCTATGTTTGCTCTAATCATCTTTTTACAATTTTGAGTTTTCCCAAGGGAGATGCTGCTAACATTCCATGTTCTAATTTGATATAAAATGCTTTATTAGATAAACTAAAAAGGGCAAGACAAACTTTACTGTCTTAAGTGACTGATTTTAAAAATAATTTGCATTGATACTGGTATTTCTGGAATAATAATCTCAGTTCTTGTTTATAAAAGGGAAAAAACCATACAAGGTCTTTCTGTATGGATCACAAGACAAAATATCACAGCCAAACAAACGTGAAGGCTTTATTTTATTTTTTAAACAAAATGTCGAATTTCATTCTTTCTGAGACTATCTTGTAAAGCACAGTACTGTTAATGATTCCCACCCATTTCATGCTGGTTTTGCCACCATCTTAGAGTTCAATTTATTTTTTTTTAGAAAGAGAGTTTGAATTATTAGATTTCTGTGTGAAAAGTCAAAACGGACAGACTCCAATAAAAAAGGGACAAGATAAAAATGTATCCACTACAATTTATTTTCTACAATACTTCATTAGAGGGTAAAGTTCAATGATTTACACTCAGAAGTTATATAGCTAGGAGGCAACCAAGTGTAATAACAAAGAATTGGTCTGACATCTCTTCACTGAAGGTTTAAAGAGGTTCTTTAAAAGGAACAACTTAAATTAACCAAAGCATTATTCATTTTAGAATTGGGGAAAAGGTACAAAACAGCACTCAGTCAGAGAAGACTGCAATGTTAAAATGAGTAGGGAAAAGGGTTATGTGCAAAACTTGAAATGTGGAAGGTTAAAATATGCAATTAAAAATAATATTCAGAACAGGTAGATGTAACATGTTGACTGTAACATCTTTTGAATTGAAATGCCTCTATTGAGATTGCTATTTATTATGAAAAGAAAACCTCTTGAAAAATATTAAAAATTGTGAACCTCTGATGATTAATGATATCCTCTGCTGTTACTTGGAAGGAATGGGAACTAAAAATAAAATCCCTTAAGAGTTCCTAGGCTGCAACAAAGGAGATTCTCAACCACTTAAAATAAAATCTTCTAGACCAAAAGGCACTTGCTTGTAGCTAAGGATGAGCCATTTCCCAATCATACCAGAATACTATTGCTAAGTTCGCTGTACAGAGTTACATCACTCTTTAATCAGATGGAAAATACAACATTTAGGACTCTTGAAAAGACAGCGCTCTTCTGGCTTTTTTGTTGGTTTCCATATCTCTTCTGTGTTGGACTCATCACAGTACATCACTACTATGTATATAATATATATAGATCCATGATCAATTCATTCTGTAGCATTGACATACCATACTGTGACTGAACTCTGTTTTTGATCAATGTAATTACCGTATATCATTTCTCTTACTGTTCTGTGTGCTCCATTACCTGTTGCTGTTTTACCTACTAAAAGAAAATCACAATCCAACTTTAACAGAGGCATTTCCATTACTATGGATTAGGGGATTAGTTGGAAACGGGGGCATGGAATGGGACCAGCTCTCACTCCAAAACTATTTTGACTTATTTCATTATAATGATAAAATTAGATCAAATAAGTTGTCACTCTTAAAATTCTGTTTTTTAAAATATTAAGGCCCCCATCTGACTCCTAAACTCCCCTACACTCATTAAAACAAAATCAAATAATTAATGCTATACACTGCTGATTACATGTAACAGGGCAAACATTTTCTTTTTTTAAAAAAAGCAATATTGATACGGCACTATATGCTTGCATGACCAGTCTTACCAAATGTGCTCAGGGGTGAAAGTTTAGCACCATTTTTTTTCCTTTTTGCTTTTAAAAAAAATCTTTACAATTGAAATTCTAACATAGAACACTAATAGTAATTTGTGTAGCCCTATAGTTCAATACTGTCTGAGAGCAGAGATGGATGGCATGACCGGAGTTTAATTTTCCCTTCCCGTTCTACAGTTTCTTTTCTGTTGAGGGCAGCAGTAAGAGTAGTAACAATTCACTTTAATTTTTTAGAAGACTAATTTATTCTCAGTAATAGGAAACTGTGGAAAAATCCCTTCATGTATATTTACTTCTCAGCATAATAAAAAGGGGAAAAGTAGTAATCCAAATTAATAATCCCAATGCAAAACTAAACGCTATAACAATATTGTGCATGGCTAGTGTGTATTCCTCATTTACCCCTTCCTTCTACAAGTATTAAATAAACTATATGATTTTTCTTCCTGAAATACATGAAGAGTGCTAGAAAAATAATGCAGTTTGAACGAATCCTGGATTCTCTGAAGTAGGCCTGTTGCAAAGAAGATACTATACATTTGCCATTTTCAAAACAACAATTTAAGTGTTGACAAATAATGTTTACCTCAATATATAAGCAATTCATATTTACTTATACTTCTTTCTAAGAATGGGGCATTTACTTGGCCTTAGAAGCTTTGCTTTGAGATTGCATTTACTCTTCTGTCTCGCCATGATAAGGTTAATTTGTTCAAAGAGATGGAGATTTTTTTTATCCTGTATTCAAATGGAATTTCTAGATACTTTTTTGGGTTTTTTTTACAAAAGCAACTGTTGTTCCATATAGGGCAATATGATATCATATTGCCCTTATGCTGAGGTCATTATCTGATTGTTTCTGGTTTTCTAGATGATTATCACTTTTTTCAGAAACCCTGCATTTCATTTCATTTAGAAGATTAATGCTACCATTTTATGAATTAACTTTGGGGATATTATTGTTCTTATGATAACAATGACTCACACAAATTGAGATAGTGAATATTTTGAAAAAATTTCTGTTTACTATTCAGTATCCCGCATATTCAATTAACAATAGAAAAGTTGAAAATCTACAGGATATTAAAACCTGGATCCCAGTTAAATTTTTTGGTGGGTAAATAACATTGTTTAGGTTTCAATTCTAAGTACAATTAACTGGAAGCAATTAATTTAAGTTAATTAGTTTTACTTCCAATTACTGTATATTATTTAGAACTGAAGCATCAGTGCAGCAAGAACACATGCAGATCTGATAACCCACTTCAGCTAACATTTACCGTAATGTGTTTTATTACCTATTAGTGTTACACTAGCAAAAAACCCCACTGCCTATGAAAAACATAGGTCTCATGGAATATTTTCAATAACAAAAATCCACACTCTTTTTATTACAATAAGGATAGCTTTGTGGGAAAAGATCTGCTGCAATTCATTTGCAAATCCTACTACCTGAACTTTAAGTAAGACACCCAACCCCCCCAAAGATTATACTTTTGGGATACAAGGAAACCTATGCTACTTCCATACACAACCCATAGTGGTTTGCCTTCTTGCATGCAGTATCTTATCTAGTAAGTTACTTTCTTTTTCTGTCAAAAATAAAAGTAGCTAGGTGTATAAATTAAAACCTTCCGGATATGAATAGGCAATGCATTTTATCTGCAGTAAATTTTATTTTACCTTTTAAATCTTTGATTAATTGCCATCCTCTGCAAGGAGAACTTCCAGACATACCATCCTTATAACAAGTCCTAACATGTTTGCTTGGGACGTGTTAGGACTACTTAGCTTATGGCAGATAAATATTAGAGATTAAAAAAAAAAAGAAAATACAAATAACCTAAAAATCTTTTGTTGGACTCCGTTGCCAGACTGCCAGAAGAAATCTCCTACTTGATCAGGGGGCATTGTAATTAACAATTCAAATGAACACAGTGCAATTTAACACAGAGACAGAGCAATCTGAAGTGGTACTGCCATTCCTCAAGTTTCTCTCTATCCAACGGCAATGGTCCCAGGTACTCAGTCCAAATGAACCCTCATTCTGAAAAATGAAGTAAGCTTGGGCCTCTGAAATTCAGTTGCACTCACTTGGTAGCCCCCACCACCCATAATCAACTGGAAGGCAGACTTGGCAACGGAAGCTAGCATCATAAAATGGTGCAGTAATAGAAGTAACTGGACCAGGAAGAGGAGGCATCTGCTCCAATGATGTCGTAGCTGGTAGCTGGGGGTCGGGACTGGTCATGCAGCTTTGTGTCAGGAGTAATGATTGTAGAGGGGTGGGGCATGAAGAGTGCCATTTTGAAAACAATGCTGTCGTGAAGCCATGTATTCTGCATAACTGATTGTCACCTTCTCACTGCGGTATCTGAAAGAAAAAATGATGGATTTTTAAAAATGCATTTATAAATAAAAGAGATCAAATTTGCCATAGATGAAACTGAAATCCTATTGCTATATGTTGATGCAATAACCTATTAAATTTTCTATCAATACAGTTCTCTTAATTTAGGCTTCTTCAATCTGCTATCAGCCAGACATGAACTTCAGAGTTATGGAAGCTGTAGTCCAATAAACTGAGACAATATTAATTTTGTAGGAAAGGCTTTTTATATTGCTAGGTACTCAAATAACATGAAAAGATCAATATTCCAATAAAAAGTGGTATATTAATTATTACCCTTTTTCTATAAGTGGCCTTCTACTCACTCTGGAAGCAGAATTGAAAAAGGCTTTGAAGTTGCTTCTGGTGTGAGGAGATATTTCCTTACAGGTTTTGGAATGACAAACCAGAAAGTGCAAGGGTTATGAAAATGTGATGTGTATATAAATTCAGTGTACCATTTTCTTACAGCAGAAGCAGGCAATTCTACAGTTGAATCTTCCAGACGGATCCCTGAGAGTGGATCCCTTCTTACAAAGTAATGGAGTTACCCTTTAGCTTTAAGATTATAATGCTTTTTAAAGGTGTAAATAGAGATCTATGTGAAAACCCTACAGGTGCCTTTCAGGATAAGGGGCATTAGTGATAGATGGCTGATCATAAAACCAACTGAATAAAAACAATAATCAAGTCAATGACAAACATACTGTGACTGGTTACCAATGAATTCAGCAACCAACCCACCTTGCTTCAATTAGCTTTTCAACTCTGGCCTTAGCTGCTCAACCAAGGACTCAGAAATAATTCTGATAGGAGAAATGGGGAACAGTGTAGCTTTTCTGTCCCTCATGACTTGGAATAATTGGGGAGTCCCAAAATAGGCTTTCTTTTTATTTTGCCTCTGATGTATGATTAGTTACCGTATGTGCTTGGTTCAGTGAGTCTGCAGCCTGCCTGGGAATGCTTTGGATTTTCCCATTAGCATCTGGGAAAAGAAGATTGTTATGAGAGGGAGTGGGGAGAAATTACCTGATTGAATTAGTTAGGAAGGTTGGAGATGGTTGCTGCTTTGATGAAGGGATTGTGGGACTGGGTAAACAGTGTGGGCAGCTAACATCCCCTCTGGTGTCTAGGCCAACTGGGTCCCAGGGGTGCAGTCTCTGTTGACCAGTACATCTGTGGAGAGTGCAGTGGTGAAATGAGGGAGGATGTTGGTATTTCACTGGAGGTTGGACCTCAGGACTGGCCATAGTTGTTGGAGAAGTCATCTGCTATAACCCCAGGCAGCAAACTGCATGCGTATGGCAGACATGGAAGAGTTGAAGGATCCATGTGCTTTCTGTAGTGAAATGGCCCAAGCTGAGAAGAGGTTATCTCCTCCCACTCCTCTGAACATCGAAATAGTTTTCAGTCCATATAATTTCCAATTTAATATTGATGCATGCTTGATAAGGGGAAAATCATAGAAGGAACCAACTATAATTGAATAGTTTTAGTATTGTTTCACCGTCTTTTTCTTTGTGCTTCCTTTAGTTCAACTAAATCCAGTAATGGCAGTAGTGACCAATAGTACTCAATGTTCTTTTCATTAGTATGGCAGGTGTTATTGCTATCTGGTATTCCACTCACTACTGGATTAAAAATGTAAACATGTGGGGAAGGAATTGTTAATGTTATGTTGGAAAAAAAGTAAAGAAGTACCAGCACACATGTACAGAAATTATGAATAGAAAAACAGAACATTAGCTAATCAAGTGAAATTAGGCATGAGCAGTAAAAAGGACATATTATGTACAATGCTAGACTGTTAAAATTAAGTACCAACAGATGCAATACATGTGAAGATGGATACTAGTTTAGAGAATCTGAAAAAGGAACTTGATACGTTTATGGATTATCAATGATTACTAATATTAAGGCCGTTGTCTACCTCAAGAAGCAAAGATGGCTCTAAAACATTCCACAGAGTTGGGGGAGATAGTTAAGTGCATCATAAATTTAGAGTTATTATATTCCCACAAATGGCCTAATCCCTCATAACTTCTGATGATGCTTATCTGATGCCAATTTGGTATTGAACTTTAGTTGATTGGATTCTTTTGTATAGGTTTGACTAATAAATCTTCTGAACTGCAACTTAAGTAATGTCCTGATTCTTTATGCCTGACATTAATCTAGTCATCTGAAGTTCAATACTAAAGTGACAGAAGAATCAAAAGGAGTTGGACTTGGACCGTTAGTGGGAACATAATGATTCTACATTGATAACATATTTACCCCTTTTTAGGGAAAGTTGCTTGGCAGCTTCAGACGATCTTAGATGTAACAGATTTTCTAGATTCTTTTAAATCTGGTTTCAGGCCCAGCTATGGGACAGACACTGCATTGTTCATAATTATGGATGATCTCTAGTGAGGGTGGGATGGTGGTAGTGCAACCATCCTGATTCTTCTTGACCTCTTAGCAGCCTTCAAGACCATTGATGATGGTATCCTTTGGTCCAGCTACAGAGCTTAGGACTGGGTGGCATAGTTCTGTGATAGTTTAGCTCCTTTCCCCAAGGCCACTCCCAATCGGTGTTGATAGAGAGTGAGAAATCCAGCCCCCGGCCGCTCTCTTACACTGTATCACAAGGCTCAGTACTCTCTCCACTCCTGTTTAACATCCACATAAATTCTCTGGGTGAAATCATGTCACCATGGGTTGAGATATCATCAATTTGCTGATATTGATGGTCCACATCTTGTGACCCAAGTGATGCTGTTGGTATCCTCTCATGGTGTCTGGAGGGCTAGGGCCTGGATGGGGGACAACAAGCTACAACTGAACCCTGGCATGACTGAATGGCTTTGGGTGAATGGAGTTTCAAGATTCGGGTCTGAATGGGGTTGTCTTACTCCATTCAGACTCAGTTCACAATTTAGAAGTTCTCCTGAACTCGCAACTCGTGCTTGAAGTTCAGTTGGTGGTTATGACTAGGACAGCCTTTACACAGCTTTGGTTTGTGCACCAGCTGCAATCTTTCCTGGATCAGGACTCCCTGTGCTCAGTCATTCAAGCCCTAATAATCTCTTGTCTGAATTATTACAATGTATTTTAAATGAGGCTACCCTTGAAATCCATTTGGAAGCTTCCACTGGTACAGAGTGTAGCAACATGAACAAACTGTGGGGCCTGTAGAATGACCCATGTTATGCCACTGCTCTGTGACCTACACTGGCTGCTGCTTTGCTTCTGAATGCAATTTAAGGTGTTGGTTATGACCTTTAAAGCTGGCCTGCTGAGGATTCTGTTGGTCAAGGAACTCCAACTGACAGGATCTAGGAGAAGAGCATTTTCTGCTGTAGCGCCAGCTCTCTGGAACTTCCTGCCCTCTGAGGTGAGGTTTGCCCCACCCTCCTATTCTTCCACAAGGGCCTGAAGACCTGGCTTTGCAGGTTGGCCTCGGAGCCCAGCTGGGTAGTATGTCACTAGAGGTGGCTACTGGACTAATTAGCTGACCCTACCTCTCCCCTGCATTTCCTGCACCCCCTTTGCCTGTCTTTTTAATTTTATATTATTGTACTTCCTTTGTTTATTTTTATTATTTTTATTTGCTCTTGTTATGTTTACATTCTTTATCATTTTTTTTGCATTTTATTGTTGTAAGCTGCCCAGAATAGCTCTACAGCAAATAAATTTAACAAATAGATAAATAAACACTGCCCCCCACTTCTGCCTACTCTTTTCATACAAGAGCTGATTTAAACACCTGTTACAAAACAGCAACAATGGAAGAGGACATTTACAATTCATGAAATTAAGCAATTAATTTTCATGCTATTAAAATAAAGTGGTTAGTCTACCTAACATTATGATACTTTATTTCTAGAAATATCAAAGCCTAAATATTCCCTAATGTTTCCATTTTATAGTCTTTTTTAATTTTTTAACTGTTAATTATTGAAAAAAAATCTTGTTTTCGAATCGGTAGAAAAATTAAGCAAGATCCCACTACAGAGTATCGACTGGTGGGAAATAGAAGATGGGCCTTCCCTGCTGTAGCCACTACTTTTTGGAATATTCTCCCCTCAGAGATTAGAATGGTGCCAACCCCAGAGATTGTAAACTGCCCAGAGTCACTTGGCTGAGACGGGCGGCTTCAGAAACTGAATAAATAAATAAATAAAATAACAGTTTAATACTGTTAAAACAGTAAAATAAACATTAAAAGATAACACAGATTTTATTTTCTCAAGAAAATAAAATTTTATTCATTTTTTCCCTAAAATTCCTTTCTAGATTTTAAAAAATCCATAAAAATGTAAAATAAATTCTAATAATTTCAAATAGTTGGCAATTTGGCGAATGGGGTGATAGTGGTGGTAGTAACTATAGGATCAGGAACATCTAATTTAAAATTTAAAACCTTGCATGGAAAAAAAAACAATTTTCAGAAATATGCTCTTCCAATTAGAAACAGAAGCAGTGAAAATACTAACACAAAAATAACAAGAAAGTTTACCTGGTGAGTTTAATAGTTTTCCTAAAGTCATTGGTAATTGGAGCCTTAAAACCACCTTTCCTGAGCAGGGAGTCTATTGTTTGAATCTGATCCCAATCTGTTTGAAAATGACAGCAGCAGACTTATAAATACAAGCTTAATTTAAAAAAGAGATAACCCTTAAAGAAAGCTCAAGTTACTCAGGTTATTGATTAGCTGCTGATAAATAGCTACTGATAAACAGAATAGGAACTGTAAATATTGAATACTACATGATTAAAACTTCATGCATACTTATTTCAATAATAAACAACCAAAATTATCACTTCTAATATTAGAGGGATTCATACTATTTTATCTATATAGTAAACAAATCTAATCATGCTTAAAAATGAAGTATACTATAGCTTTAATTTAAAATTTAAAATCTACTAAATTTCCCTGTAGGGTTTAAATTATACTTTGGTATTTTCATGCAGGAAGAGAAAATGTTATTTTCTGCATGCTGGAATAAATAATTTGAGGAATTGTATTATATTTCAGGGCAAAACATCAAAATAAATCATTGACTCAAACCATAATCTGTTTTCACTATTTGAAATATTTAAAAGTCCAAACACTTATGAATAATGCAGCATTTAAAACAAGACTGCCACCTTGTTCCTTAACAAAAATTAGCATATCAATCTAACAAATAAAAATAAAATATCTTTAAAAAATCACCACCCACTGAACATATTACTATTTTGAACCTTTTAAGGTCAAAGCCTCTGAATACTTCAGCCAAGATGAAATGGTTTTATTCAGTAGCTGTGTACACCATCTCATGATTTACATTCTTTTATTTATACAATTTTTACTTAATATAGAATTACATTTTATTCCTAACTCACCTTGTTCCTTAGCAACTTCAGGTAAATATGTAGCTGTGCGTTTAACACCTTTCTCATTGATGAACTCAATTCTGATCCCATGGATTCCAACCTAAAAATAGAAATATTAAGTCAGCTGGGATATATTTTCTGGGAAAATGGATTCACCCCAGGGGTTAAATGCTCCTGGTTCGGACCGGATCGCCCGATCTGGTAGCGATGGCAGCGGGTGGTTCGGAGAACCGGTAGCAAAAATCCCTGTGCGCCCCGCCCCCCCCATGCCCAGCTGAGCTGCATGATCATCAGAGGCTGTTTTTTTTTTTACTTTTAAAAGCATTTTTTCTACAACCTCTTCTGAAGAAAAAATGCTTTTAAAAGTAAAAAAAAAAGCCTCTGATGATCGCGCGGCTCAGCTGAGATCATCAGAGGCTTTTCAAAGCATTTTTTTTTTTGCAAACCTCTTGGTCGAAGAGGTGGTAAAAAAAATGCTTTGAAAAGTCTCTGGCAACTCCCAGCTGAGTTGCCTGATCGGCAGAGAGGTATATTTTTAAAATACCTCTGACGATCCCAGCTGAATTGCCCGATTGGCAGAGGCTTTTCAAAGCATTAGAAAAAATGCTTTGAAAAGTTAAAAAAAAAAAAGTTGGCCACCCAGTCACATTAACGCCCACCCTCACCCCCACCAGAACTGGTAGTAACAAATTTTACATTTCACCCGATTCACCCTTGCCATGGATCTTATTCAAACATCAATCCGAAAAAAGTCTTGCCTTGCCTTCAATTCTTGTATTAGTCCCTATTGGCCACAGATAGCTTCTCAGGGTGATTTTTTGCTTGGTACTTATTATCCAAGAATAAAAGGTGACCAATTGATCCTTCTTCCTTTGTTACTCTTAATAACTATTTCCAAATTCCTAATTTAAATGTACCCATTTCTTTTCTTTCTACAGTGTGCAATGCTTTAATTGCAATTTCAGTTGTCATTGTCAAGATCATTAAAGATATGCATATTTCTAAATTTGTCTTCCTCATTAGAACTGTCCTTTTTATTTTTCCAGTGAAATGTCCATCTTTATTCCTTAGCTTAAGAAAAGAAAGCTGTGTATCACCCGTTAACATTAACTTTGCTTTTTTCATTTTCATAATGAGCTGTTCTCTCTTCTTTACTTTCAGAGATGATGATATATTTTCCATATCACAATTGGCTCATGGTTTGACTTCTAATATTTATTTCAGCTGCTATCTCATCCAATTCTTCAATTCTTATAGCATATTTGCTAAACAAATATGGGGAAAATATTCATCTCTATCTCATTCACTTTTCTATACTGAACCATTTTGTTTCTCCAATCTCAGTTCTTCCTGCACCTTTTCCTAGGAAGTTGGCATCCTTTATTTCTATGGAGGCCTATCAGCTCACATGTAAATTACTCTTAGCTTCATCTATTCTTCTGATTTTGATTTTGATTTTAATTAGGTGTCCTTATGAGGAATCCATGTTTGTGTTGGCACCATTCTCAAGTTGGCACCATTCTCTCTGAAGCTATGAAGTCCTGGCTATGTATCAAGGTAATAATCATTTGGGAGGGACTGAAGTAATTTATTCAGTTTTAAATCATCGCCTTTTTAAATTTCATTCTTGAAATTCTATCATTATAACTTACCCTTACTATATACATAGTACAAAATATTGATCTGAATCCAAATAGCACAAAAGGGCGATAGAAAATTCGGATTCACAGTTTTACCTCCCAGTCCAAGTAGTCAGTGGCATCCTCAAAATTAGTGAGGAGGGAGACAGAGCAGAAAAGTTTAGGCAGCTCCTCACGAGTCAGGGGTGGAAATCTGCTGTCCTTAAGTGCACTAAAGTGGAAAGAGAACATCCTCAGAAACATATATAAAACAACTCATCATAGTATAACTTGGAAGCTTTACTACATTCTAAGAATTATTTAGTCAAATTTAAGATTTAAGATAAAATTTCCGATTTATACATGCTAAAAGAAGTGCCACACACACACACACACACACCAAATTGGGCATGGTTTTCTGAGAGATCAGTTGATTTTACCTGGTTAATGTGTATTCCCTGAGTCCTGAGTGAAGATTCATGGCAGAGAAAGTTCCAATGCAGCCCCGAAGTCGTTTGTCTCGGCCTGTCTTCCATGTCACAAAGAGTGGGCTAAAAATGCATAACACAAAAGCTTCAAATAATTCTTGCTAAGAAAAATGAATTAAAATACAAAAAATATGACTGCATTTGTAATGAAAAACCAATGTATGCCTTTTTCAGCTTTCAATGCCTCCGTTTCACTGAAGTAATGCTGAAAATTACAATCTGCTTTCCTTCTTATATCTTCCAAAACCTTAGAAGTACTTAAAATGACAGGTTATATTGTTTTTACCTGCTTCCTTTCTGTGCAAGAGAGAAAATTGCTTCTTTTTTGGGGCAGGACTTGGTAATATGTTTGGATGACCTAAATCAGGTTAGGTAGACAACTATTGATTCTTCTGACGTGTTCAAATGAAGGGCAGGGAATCTGAGACCCAAACAAATTTTGCTAAATGTCAGCTACCAACTTTACTGTTTCTTTACCAGCCATACTGTTGATCGTTTTTATTTAGCAACATCTGAAAGGCCACAGGTTTCCTGCTGCTCTGTTAGGGACATTTAATAGCTCTGGTAATGGTTTAGTACTTGACTGATGTTCCAGTCTGAAAGCAAAATTTTATGATGGCTCTTTCCTCAAGACAACAGGTTCCAGAAGTGTTGGGAGTATGATGTTCTTCCTCATGGAAGCCATCTTATCTTCAATGTTCATTTCATTGTCTATATTGTTCACACCGGGGAACCAGTTTGCTGTAGTGGTTAAGGCATCAGGCTAGAAACCAGAATCAATATTACAAGAATTTTTGTTACTCTGGATATAAAATACATTTAAAAAGTCTGATCAGACAATCAAATTGCATTTCTAAGAGCACTTTAGACTTCATGCAGATAAATAAACTTAAGCTCAGTTACCACAGAAGAGTTGGACAACTCACTTAATTGCTGCCAGGAAAAATATCTGTTCCTAGACAATAAACTCTTTTGTCTAAAATATCAGCTTTGAACTGGGGGAAGGGATATTTCTAGCTATTTATGCAAGTCTGAAAAAAGGTATTGTTGCTTTCATATTAAATTTAATGAGCAGATTCCTTAAAGCAATAGCATTTTTTTCACATTCACTGGATAGCCTGAAAATATTGGGCTTTTTATATTAATAGAGAGAGAGGGCAGGAAAGCTTCTAAAACATTTTCAACGTTTGCAGTCCTGATGTACTAATTCTCTAAAGACTGGACAATAAACCTTTTGTGTTTCATTTCCTTTTTTTACACTTTCTGTTTACAGACATAGCTTCATCTTGGAATTATTGGTAGTGTTAAAACTTAAATAGGTCACTTTTTCAGTCAGGTACAATGGTCTTTGACAGAAAACCACTTGAAGAAACTAGAAGTAATTGAAATGTGGATTTACAGACGGCTGGGCTATTACGTATAAGCTGAGTTAACAAAATCATAAATGAGGAGGTGATAAGCCGCCTGGGAAAGCAAAGGGAAATCATCAAAGCCATTAAAAAGCGAAAGTTAGAATATTTTGGACATATGATGCAGCATCTTTCACTTAATCCTCCAGGGAAAGATTGAAGGCAAATGAGGTCCAGGCAGAAGAAGAACATCATGGCTTCAAAACCTAAGGGACTGGTTTGGACAAAACTCAGCAACACTTTTTCATGCGGCTGTTGATAAAAATAGGATTGCCAGCATGATCGCCAACGTCCAATGACGGATATGGCACAAGACGACGACAATGAACTATAGTCAACAGCAAATTACACTTGTATTTTAGTTTAAGCTTGAACATTGTATAAAATAGTAAGTTATCACTGGCAAGAAAGAATCTGAAAGCTCACATTAAAAAGGTGCACCCAAGCCTGAAATTTTTGGGTCTATTGTCTATTGTGACAATTTGCCACAGCCAACTCACCACAGCCAATTTGCTGTGTGACAAACTCGCTATGGCCAACTCACTGCAGTACAAGAGTTACACTAATATTAAAGAAAGGATGCAAAAGGAGGGACAGAATGAAATGTGAATGACAAAAATTAAAACAAATTTTTTTATTTATTTTAAATAATTAAATTGAATTGTTAAAGTGTCCCATGGCAAGTTGTCCTGTAGTGAGTTGACCGTAGTGAATTGGCTGTGGCTAGTTGGCCGCAACGAGTTAGCTGCAGCGAGTTGTCCCAGTCCAGATATTTTTTAGACTTCTTGAGTCTTCGTGGAGCTTCTCTTAAAGATAATTTGAAAACTCTTGAATGTATCCAATTATTAGTAAATGTAGAATTGGAATTGCTTAAGTAAATGTATTTTAAACTTATATAGGTTATGTTTTCGATGTCCAAGCCCAATGCAAAGTGCTATTTTTGATTTATAAAATCCTAAATAATTAGACTCTTTGTACTTTGGGGAAGTTCTCTGACTATAATGACCAATAAGATCCTGTTTCAAGAGTCGTGTTATGTGGGTGCTAAATGTCATGGATCCATAGCATTTTGTACTTATTTCTGCAGTGCAGGTTGTTTAACAATCTTATCTTTGCTATTTATATTTTTTACAATAAAGCCTTTTAACACGTTTTCTCCAAATATATTTATCTGTATTATTATTTTGTGTTTTTTGCTTAATCAAGCATATACTAAATGTTTCTACTACCATGTTATCTGTTTTTTCTAATTTGTTTATATTTAAGTTTAATATAGTAACCTTCTAACGGCAATTGTTTTGTGTGTCATATGAAGCCTGTACAAACAACCAAAATATGCTTTCACAATGCCTAAGAATACTTAGGTGGCCTGCATAATAGAATTTTTTAACAATCTGACTCTGTTTCAAGTGTTCTCACACATAAATGCTAAACAGTAATATGTGATGGAACTCAAGAAATAAGCCATAATTATAGTCAACTATAAATGAATTAATACATATATACTTTTATCTCTATTTCTCTTTCCATGTCATACAGTATTGCCAGAAACCATATTTAAGGACCAAACTAAATAGTGTATGACAGATCTTGCGGAAGTGAAGAAAATATAAATCGGATGCTTTTTGAAGGAATGCCATCTTTTTAGAGGGATTCTTGTACTTTTTTCTCCCCATTATGATTCTAATCTAGAGTGCTCTTCCATGATGGCTATTTATCCTAAGAGGACAGATAATTGGAACTGCTACAGTGTCACAGTGGTCCTCTGAATCAAATCTTAAATAAAGTCTTCAAGAATTATTTTTTATGAACAAATTCTAAAGCCAGGATAATGTCATGCCTAACTTAGATTAAGTGTCGTTTTTTCTAACTCTTAAAGATAATCAGAGAACACACAGTAATTGTGGTACCATTTGCTTTTAATTTGTTGGCTATGCATATTCATGCATCTATCAAATCTGTGTTTTTAATTTTATATTAGGCTAATGTGCTTTTAAATAAATCTTAACTATTCTCCTCTGTATTACCTCCTGATCTAGTTTCTGAGTTCTTCAGTATGCTACACTTCTGTTGATATCTAATGATTAAGAATATCATCAATGGAATTAAACTAGTTGTAATAAGTATTCCAGAACTAAATCTGAAGCTCGTTCTAGCTATCTAGTATAGAATGTTCAATTTTGTTTCTATTTTTAACAACATGGCAAAAAATGCTACAAAAACCCAGTTCGCTAGACAATTAATTCAAGCATACAATAATCTGTATGAAAATTAAAGTTGTCATGTCTATCTGAAAAATAAGCCTGCTGTTCCATTTCTTTATCTGAATAGCAAATAATCTATTAACATTTATCTTCCATTTGTTATATTTTAAATCAGCTCTTACAATTTGTAATGTTATTGTTAACATAAACTATTTTTAAAAATGAGCCTGAAATCCTTGATAACAACAGTAATCCCATGCTCTTCTCAGTTTCTCTGCTTAGAATTTCTTTAGATTTAGAATTATCCCAACAAAGGGAACAAAGCATAGTCAGAAATAGAGATGATTTTTTTTTCTCCAAAAACTTATTGACTACAGTACATCACTGACTTTATGTTTTGGTGTTCCAAGCTATAAGCCAAGAATTCTGTACTGCTAGGATTGTTAGCCACTGGTTCAACATTTAATAAATTCTCAGTGCCATGGATTGAACAGATACAGTGAAATGGCTCTTGTATATTTTAAAAAAACAGTAAGAGGTAAAAGAATTTAAAAACTGCATCTTTCTTTTACCGTGTTTTCCCGAAAATAAGACTGTCTTATATTTTTTTGAACCCCGAAATAAGCGCTTGGCCTTATTTTTGAGGAGGTCTTATTATTTTGGGACTCCTCTTGCCATCTTACCTGATTTCCAGCTCTGTCTCCCTAACCCTAACCAGAGGAAATGGCGGGGACCAGCTGCACATGCATTTAAATATTTTTTGGAGAGGGCTTATTTTGGGAGGGTTATTTTAGAGCATGCACTCAAAAGCCCGATTGGGCTTATTATCTGGGGAGATCTTATTTTCGGGGAAATAGGGTAAAAAATAAGTTAACTTTAAAATATAGGCATACAGGCAAATAGCTATGTTTGTTAAAAATAACAAACGGTATAGTATCTTAATTAAGGCCAACTGATACATTACAAAGTAGCAAACAAGTTTTGAACTCAGAGCTACTATTCAAATAGATTTTTAGGCAAAAGGTCTATTTTAGACCTTTTAGGTGGGTATGACTTAAAAAATATGCCTCTTGAAACACTCTCTGTCTTGTAAACATTGTAAATTTAATTTAAATTTCAAGTGGAATCTGCAGCAAAACATTGCAATGTAGAATGCTCTTGTATAGGATAACAACTAATATCTTTTTCAGGGTAATTTCTCCTTACACTTATTATCTGCTCGCCTTTCATATACATTGTGCAAGGACAATGTGCATCATTCACTTGCTCTTCTCAAGCACTTTTTCCGTGAAGCTTTTCCATTACTTTTGCAAACCTTAGAGTTAACAGAAGATTCCCAATTATTTCTCCTCATTATTGGATAATGTTATTTACTGCAAAAAGAGCTTCATTTATAGAACAAAAGCCTTTTTTAGCTCTAGATTTTGCTGCATATTTTTATATATAATTTGATACCTATCCTTGTAATAAAAACAGGGGACTCTAAATTTGAAAAAAGCAAAACGCATATATAGAAGTAAAAACTGTTGCACGCCACACTGCCAAACCTATAATAATCTTAACATGGAGAAAATGTTCTCTTCCCCATCAACAGTAGCCAAGCACGAAGAACTTCATCCATAATTGGATGAAGTATTGACTACTGCAATGCCCTCTACATGGGGCTGCCCTTGAAGACCACTCGGAGACTTCAGCTGGTGCAGAATGTGGCCACGCGGGTTGTGATGGGAATATCCCGACACTCCCATGTTACACCTCTCCTACGTGACTTGCATTGGTTGCCGGTTGCCCTCCGAGTGAGATTCAAGGTGCTGGTGATTACCTATAAGGTTCTACATGGCTTAGGCCCGGGATATTTGGGGGACCATCTGCAGCCAGCAACAACTTCCCATCGCCTGGTGCGTTCCCACAGAGAGGGCCTCCTCAGGGTGTCGTCGGCCAGACAGTGTCGGCTGGCGACCCCCAAGGGGAGGGCTTTCTCTGTGGGCCTACCTACCCTTTGGAATCAACTGCCCCGGACCTCTGGGTGGCCCCCGACCTCCGCTCTTTCCGCCGCAATCTGAAAATGTGGCTGTTTTGTTTGGCTGGCCTGGACTGATGGGGTTTTAATTCTAATTTAATTTTAACTTGTTAGTCTTAATTGTACTTTTAACTGTTAAATTATGAGATTTGGATTTAATTTTTTAACTTTTTATTAGATGTTTCTTAACTGTTGTGAGCCGCCCTGAGTCCGGCTGGAGATAGGGTGGCATATAAATCTAATAAATAAATAAATAAATAAATAAATAAATAAATAAATAAATGTGTTTGTTTTGTTTTAGTGAGATCTGTGTGTGAACTCACCAAGCAGAGTTTATTTCAACAGTCAAGGTTAAACAATTTTAATACTGTGAAGAGTAATTTAGCAACTTCTGCACTGTGATAAGAAACTATTCCCAATCACCTTTTTCTACCAAATAAAACATGATTACCAATACAGATATTATATATCATGGCACACTGAGGTTCAGATAGCAGAAATCTAGCAAGTATAAGTCTGTCAGAATTAATATGCAATTTTCATTTACTGTATGGAACAATAATTATTTATCAAGGAGGCTCTAAAAACTCGAAGACATAAATTCAAGCTCTATTGTGAGAAATGATAGAGTAAGATCCAATTCATCTTCCGCATACATTGATAGCTAAAATTAAGTTAGACACAAGCATGAAATAGTAGGCAGAACTAGAACCCACACTACAGTCTAGAGCAACTCCTTACTCCATCATCAAATATATTCCCTATATATTATCTATATACACCTTCAGATATTTACATTTTTAGTTCACAGGCTGTAAAGGAACATTAGATCTTTATTGTATTATAGCAGTCACATATACAATAACTTTCATTTCAAGCTCTGGATGCAGTCTCACAACAAAAGACATTGGGAGAAGTCCACATAAACAGATATAGATATGTTCTCTTAAGTAACCAAGGGAATGCCAAATAGGCATGCATACAACAGCTTGCTATTAATAAGGTATATTTTCTCCCTCAACCAATGCTGAATGACTGTCTTGTTTACAGAACCAGAAACCAGGCCTCCTGTTGAAAGCTGAAGGGCCTACTTCCTTAGTATAACTAACACTCAAGTGGCTAGATGATAGAACCATCCATGCACCAAACCTTAATAGTAAGAAATCTTTTTACCGAGTACGATTCTGAACAATAGAAATCAGGTGTTAAGTGAACATTACCATCTATACTAACAAAAAGACAAACACTGCAATAAAGTGAAATCCTTATTTTTATTGTAAATATATGCCCCACCCTTCTACATGTAGCACTTATAGTGCTGTAGTTCTAAAATAAAACCACACAGAAGGTATTGCAAACCACCCTGTCGCATTTTATAAACGGAAAACTCTATAATAGTAGTGGGTGTGGGTATTCTTGCTTAATCTTCCGTAGAGAACATTGTTTCACTTGTTATGTAAATGGTTGCTGAAATATGGAACCTATTGGAATATATTTGGCAACCATACAATGGAATAGTTGGAATCACATAGGTCTGGTTTTGCTGGAAGTTTTCCTTTTAGTCTGTATGGCACTGAGAATGGAAAATATCCAGCCCTCCACATCTAGCAAATAGAGTATGTAGGAATCTAAAGATATAAAGAGAGAATAACAATTAGCAGGTGTAAGGCACAAGTCTCTGAATCTAAACACATAGTACTTATTTGTGAAGAAACCACTTAATACTGCTGTAGGTGCTCAAATGGTATAGCAAATCTTACCCTAAATACCCACCTTTCACTGAAGAAAACCTCTGTTATTCCCATGTTCAGGTTTTGATGCTGTGAGGCAAAAGGGATCATATCGTTAAAAGGGCAAGATTTAGGATATCTAGCTTTCACTAAAAGTTGTTTATTTGCATTTACTGTTTTCATGGCTATTGGAGCACATACACTAAACCCGCGTCAAAGTATTGTAGAAGAAAATATCAATTTGCTGATAAAATTAGTCAAAATACAGCTTTCATTTTTTATTGGACAGGGTGGGAATATTTACGGAAACTGTACTCTTAAGTATGGTTTCAAGCCCTAGAAGTCTGGCTAGTTTAGGAAACAAAAATATGAAAAGATTCCTCAAAAGTTCTTTATTGCTTATAGAGTAATATAAGAAAATTGAAAATTGAAATGTTTACCAAGTAAATTCATAGCTTGTATGGACTGTAATTAAGTTAATCTTGGTCACCTTTTTATGTTTCTCCTCTCCCCCAGACTCAACAATCTGCTTCAGTATCCCTATTTCCTCCTCCCTTAACTGTTTTGCTACCTCTCTATGTTCCCAAAGCCTCTTTGGCATTCCATCATACATAGCTTACCTGTTCAAGATGCTTTGTCCTTTTATCCCAGTTGTAGAAGTAGTGTTGATAATTGACGTTCATGTCTTAAGGTAAGGTAACTGTTGGGAGTTCTCTAACAAATGTCAGCAGTGTCCTCTGGATAGGTTGAACTATTGTGCAAAGTATTCTTCCTCTGTATTTCTCATCACCACACAGCCCCTTGGTCAGTTGCAAATGTTCTCTCATTCTCATTATCACACTGTTTCCCTCCCTCCTTCTCTCACATACACAAACAAGAGCATACCCTAATATTTCAGCTAGAAATCTTGTCTGGAGTTTAAATACTGGCAAAAATACACTGGGATTAAAGGCAAGGTTAATTGAAATCTTAACTACACCATAGCAATGTAGCAGTTCTGTCATGATTTTGTTTTGGCTCTCCATTAAATATAAGGGAATATTTCTAATCACACCAATCCCTTTATCAGTGTAATGCTACACTGATGAAGTAGTATTAGGATGAAACACAGTTCCTCTTATAGTATCCTACTGGCAGAACATCATAGTAATAAGAATAGGTTTATGTATTACCATTTTTACTCAGAAGAGTAAATCTCAAAATCAGTTGGCAAAAGAAACTTTCATTAAATCCTATTTTTCCCACTAATATGTCTACCATAGTGGTGGGCATCTTAGTTAGATTCCATCTAACATCTTGAAATTATTTCTACAGAATTGTATTTTGTTAAGCTAAGGCCAGTGTAACTCCCTGTTAGGTCCTGTGCTGTTCAGCTAAGGCCATTCTAAGCTGGAAGTTAGATCTGACTGTCGTACTGCAGAACTCATTTTAAGTCCTGTGTGCTCAACATATTTGTAAGCAATTTGATTAAAGGGTTACTATGTATTATTATCAAATTTGCTCACGACATGAAGATGGGGGGGGGGGACAGCAAACTTCTAAGTACATAATATAAAGATTCAGGAAGATCCTGATAAACTCAAATAAGTAGCAAGAGCAGCAAGATGAAATTCACAGCAACAAATCTAGACTCTTATACTGAAATAGGAAAAAATTAAAAGCGTGTGCATGGCTGTGGTATGATACAGGCAGCAATATATAGCAAAAGGATCTAGATTACAAGATGAGTATGACCCAACAATGTTGTGCAGCTCCAAAAAATGAAACAAGAAAAAGCAATCCTAAACTGTATTAATAGAAGTACATTATCAGGATCAATATAAATCATTGTTCCTCTCACTTCTGAATGAATCATCCTACTTCTAGAATGCTACATCCAGTTGTAGGCACATATATTAGAAAAGACATGGTCAAACTAGAACATGCCCAATGGGAGCAACCAATATGATAAAAGCAAAAAAAAGCAAAAAAAAAAAAAAATTATGAGGAGGTGGAGGTTTTTGGTATGTTTAGCTTGAAGAAGAAAACACTGCAGAGACAAGGGAGATGTCATCAAATCTCTGAAAGGCAATCCTATCAGACGTAATTGTTTAGAGCTGTTCCAGAAAACAGGACAACCAAAAAATGAGTTTGATTTAGCAGGTTTTACTAGAAAACATAAAAAAAATTGGTAAGAACTGTTCAGTATGGAGCAGAGTGCCTCACGAAGTGGTGGATTGTTTAAGCAGAGAAGGTGTTTAAATAGAGGCTGGATTAGCAGTTTAGGCAATATTGTAGTACTACCGTAGATTTGTGTATCATCAGGAGAATGAATCTCCAAGTTAACTTCCAACCCTTACATTATACAAGTAGCATTTCATAGAGCTGTGATGGCGAACCTATGGCACATGTGCCAGAGGTGGCACGTGAAGCCATCTCTATGGGCACGCGAGCCATCGCCCCAGTTCAGCTCTGTCCCGCATGCGTGCGTGCCTCCTGCCGGCCAGCTGGTCTTCAAGTCTCTGCCTCACATGCAGGGGCTGCACACGCATGGGAAAGGGCACATGCGTGGGGGCCGCACGCGCATTGCATTTTGGGGGTTTGGGCGTGCGCTTTGGGCACTCGGCCTGGAAAAGGTTAGCCATCACTGTTATAGAGAATACAAACTACAGGAAAAAATATCCAACTACTGAAGTCAAATGTTATAAGTGGCTGATAACACATGGACCAAGAAACTGTCAAAGTATCAACAGCATTCATATATATATATTAATATTTTGCAGAAATATTTTGCCATATGATAAAACTCTATTAAGTAAATGTCTAGATATTTATTACATTTATACCTGACTTCTCCTTCAGGTGTTCAAGGTACCATATATAACACTCCCTCTCTAATACTTCTCACAACGTCATGGGGAGTTTAGGCAAAAAAGGGCCTGGCACAAAAACACACAGTGAGCTACCATGGCTGAGAGTAATTTGAACCTAGGTCTCCTCAGACGTCATTCAACATGTTCACCACTAACATATACTCCTTTACTATAGTCTTTTCAGTTATTAATTATTCAAATCTTTCCAGTTATTAATATATCCACAATTTTCTCCTATTTTTTTAAAAAAATATAACTGTACACAGCAAAATGTTCATGGGCACATCTTGATGTAGCTAGGGTTGAACACTACATTAATCAAAGATTACTGCATTAATCAAAATGCTTGGGTCACACAACACTTTAAACCATAAACTAAGCATAGTAATAAACATTATTAAACCATGAAGTAGCCAATCATATTTTATCCTAGAATATTGTGCAAAGTCACCCTGCATATCTTTAATTACAAACTATGCTTCAGAAAATGTATGAGTTACAAAACTGGGAAACAGTATAAATTGATCCTATATGTTTATTTAAACCAGGACTTTTGATATTTGAATCTGATATTGAATTCTCCAATTTTTCTTGGTATAAGCATGTTTTTAATAAGCATAGGATATATACTATATTGTATTAGATTATATTACTTTATCCCAATACCATCTCTTTGGTAACTAGCAATGCTTCCCAACTATATGCAAGAAACTATGTAAAATTGTCATCATTCAACATACTACTTATTGCTATACTGGGGAGGCCTTCATGTATAATTGATTTTGTTTAACATAAATTGAATTCAGAATGATTCTTAACTGATTACATGAGTAATACAGGGGATCAGTGCTGTATAACTGGTCAGTATAACTGACCATTTCAGTTATACTACATGAGATTTTATTCCTTTAAGAAACTCTTTGCTTTTCAAAAAAAGCAATACATATCCTGAATCAGGACAAGCTCAATCTTCCTTGGTATCCATCATGAATCCAACAGCAGTGATGAGAAATTGCTGTTGTATCCAGATTTCTGATGTAGGAAAAAGACATGGAAATGTATCATATACATCAGAAACTCTAGAAAAGAAGTGCAACAAGGTACCATTGTTGCATTCCATTTTCTACATGGATGCTGTAAATATCAATAATCTATAAATTAATGGATAATTAAAAAATTAATAATAAAAATAATAATAATTTTAAAAAAATCAAAAAATAAGGAAGTGTAATACTCATTGGTTCAAGAAAAGAACATTCTGGATAACTCACGAACCTTCTGTTCCCCTTTAAATTGTGCTGTTCAGTAGTTCAGTAGTTTCCAGAAAAAAAATCCTTGAAACTGGATTTTGGAATACCATGCTTCAGATTACTTTCAGTTCAGGGGATTTACATTTAGAAACTAGTAATTGCCTCTGGAACAGCATAGTCCAGAGGAGCTTCAGTACAGCCTAAATGGTAGAACAGAACACTCCTGAACTATTTTGTATATCTTCCCACTCAAAAAACAAAGACTATATTGTATAAATATGAAATATTTAGGTAATTTGTAAAAACTCTCTAGCAGATCTTCAGTCTCTATCATTTGCATACTTCTCTATCCTTATCACAATATTAAACTAGTGCTACATAACTATTTCTGTTCTTGCTGGGACTTTCTTTCCTCAGCCCTCCAAGTTCTAATGCTCTCCAATTACAACTGCAGAGTTGTTTTATCTCATAAACATCAATATAATGCATGCTTTCTGTTTATAGCAGAGAGTTTTATTGTATACGTTAAGCCATCTACAAAAACGACTATTTTAGATTTCTTAGCAGATAATCTGTATTTTGAATAACCCTTCCATTATCCTTTTGGAAGGATATTCAGTTTCCCTCCCATGCCCATAAATTTACTCACTAGGGATCATTGGTAAATCGAGGAAGTCGTGGCTGAGGGAAACCATAAAGATGACAGTAGAGTACATCAAAGCAGTAGCAGCACATCTCCGCTGTCACGACTAGATTTTTGGTGCTGTTGGCAGTTCCATTAGGCCGGGCAAGTGGGCTCAATGCTCCTGAAGTGGAATTCATTCGAGTAATTGGAGAATTTCCAGGGCATAAAGTCAAATCTGATACATTCTCCCTTCCACTGCCCCCATCTGCATGCTGGTGGTTCTGAAGAGGACCTGAACTAGAGACTGGCACAGTTGTGGCTTGATTCCCGTGACTATGTGTTCCACTTCCAGACAATTTGGGTTTCTTTACCCCACAACAGCCTGCTGCCAACTTGGGCTCAAGTGGAGGAACACAGCGTCTTTTTCCCATCCTGATTCAGCACCTACTGTCTGAAGCACTGTAGAACCCTGATAAAACACACAATATGCAACATATGTCATTTCATTAATGAAAAAAATATACAAGAAAGTACTTTTTCCAGTAATAAAACAGCGTAGTTCATATTATAACATACATATTATACAAGAAAACTGGCATATGACATAGCCAAAAGTTAAACAGAAACAAACTGAAATTACATTATATCAAAAGTTAATTTAAAAATGTATCAGCAATTCAAAACTAATCAGAAAACACTGAACTACCAACTTATGTAGTCCTCAAATTATGACAGCAATTGGGGCCAGGATTGCTGTCACTAAGTAATGTCATCATAAAGTGTGATGTCACATGAACACATCACGTAGCAAAGGCAATCTTAGTTACCACTGTAAACCCGAGATATGCTAGTTGGTAAGTGGAAAGAGTTCTAGGGAAGGTGTATGGGAGTGACACAGGAGAGGGGTGTTGCAGGAGTACAGCAAGCAAGAGAAGGCCTGGGAAGGCCAATGCAAGCTGTGCAAGTTACAGGAGGTAGGAGAGGAGCTTTCAAGTGTGAAGCTTCAACTAATATCTTGTCTGGAGTGCAAAACTGTTGTTTTGGATAGTTTGGCTACTTGAGTGTTTTGAAGTATTCCAAGCTGAAACCAGAATGAGTTTCAAACCAGAATGTTTGAAACTGCATGTTTCATACTTGAAATGGGACATATTGTGAAATTTGAACTTGAAAAATTTTAAAATGTGCAGATCTCTACTTTCTACTTTTGGAAATAATAGCCAGAGAAACCCAAGAATAATATTTCTTCTTGGTTAGGCTTCTGTTCCTATTAAAAAAATATTCTGGATCAAGACGGATGGTTATCCGGATCTGCTATTTATTAAGACAAAGACAATTTTTCCTTCCTTGCAGCTACCCTGCATGGTCTGCTAGAAACAAAATGGCTGTATCTTGTTATCTTTATATCTAGTGAGTGCATCCATACTTGGAAGTGTTATTTCCTCAGTTATAATTGGGCAATTTGTGCAATGTGGTATAAGCGATCCCTAATGACTTTGATCAAGAAATCCCAAATGATAACATAGATACTTCAATCTCTGGTAGAAGAGCTGTTTTTGCAGCATAACTACCTTTATTTCAAATTATAAGGTGAGCAGAAAAACAGTCTTAGCTGTAGGCTTCAAACTTTTATTGAACAAGACTGAAACAAATTGTACACCCAAAGTGTGATAAGGATATGCAAAGTTTGTAAAAATATTAAAAAATGTTAAATTACACATTTTTCCACTGGCAGCTAAATTAATATGCTGAGTAAAACTTCAGCATGCAATAAATTTATAAATATATGTTTATACTAAATTGATATTGCTTACAACTATGTGAAGGAACTGTATACTAATACTATGTGCAAAAACTCTTGAAATGTGTATACACAATGCAGATATTTAACACAATACTTCATGTTAAATATTTGTAAATATCAGTCTTCAAAAAATTAAGAATTAAATACCTATTCAGTTCCTTTTGAGAGAGAAAGAAAATAAGAGGGAAAAGTTACACAGCTAGAAGATGACCTTCCCACTTTGCTGGAGTGTGGAACAGCAACAGCTGTCACAACTGTTAGCATCACCATATACAAGCTGTTTGTTTCTTTATACTAACAAGCTTTTGTATATTAGGCTTCAGATAAATGCTTACTGAAAGCAGAAACCTTGTACTGCCAAGGGGGAAGTGGACAGGTGGAAGGGGAAGCTATTTTATTTCTGGAATGAATTTCCTTTTCTCACGGCCCATTCCTGTTTCCAAATCTGAAAAGAAAGAAATAAAACCCATAAATTTTTAGATGTAGTTGAACACCATTAGACTGTTAAACTGTCAACAGACCTGCAAAAGTGACTAAAAATACATTGTAAAATATTTCCTATTTGAGGGGAAAACTTTTTTCCTTGTCTCGCCTGTCTCCATTCATCTTTCTTATATTCACTCTTGAAATCTTTATTTAAATACATTTTATATTACAAATAAAATGTATACACGCACCCACACCCCATACATGTATTCTTTTAAAGTAACTATCTCAGTGTCTGGAACCAATTTTCTTTAATATATAGCATATATGGTGGGCACTGTAGAAAAAATGGGAAAAGTAAAGTAGAAGAATACAAATTATTAGAAATATCCAAGAACAAGGAGGGACAAGGACTTGAACTTATCACTAAAATATGTAACACTGGTGGAATAAAAAGATTAGCATTTGCAAAAGAAAGTGATCTGGAATAACAAAAACCACTATTAGAGCAATGTCTACAGAGGAAATCAAGAGTTTTCAGAAAATCCTCAGCATATTTCTTGCAACATTCAAATTCTGAATTTTACTTCTCATTAAAGCACAATTATATGCATACTTAAGTTTCCCTTGACTCCTCACACCAAGTAAAAAAAAAAAAAGGTAGAATATTGTAAATGAGTTCAGCTGACTGTAGCTGCAATTCTAAGAACATACTAGGGAACAACTGTACTGACGTGGGGCATGTTCCCGTATAGAGGCACTACTGCACATACGGTACAGTACAGAGCAAGGAACAACCTGCATTATTTTAGCAAATGCAAAACAAAAATCTAACTTGGATTCTCTTCATTCATACGATTTCCCAACACCATGCTGTATAACATGACAGGAAAGCAGCAAGGAAAAGGAAGCTTGCCAAAGTCACCCAGGGAGCTCGATCCGCTCCAACCGGGGCGTTTTGATCCTTAATGGGGCTACCGCCTGCTAGCTAAGAACCTGGCAATCAAATAGGTTCAAGACCCCCGGACCCTAAGGGAAGCAGCAGAGCAGAACAAACGTGAAAGGACCAGCTGGCCTGGCAGGAAAGGGAGGCAAAAAGGAAAAGCTGCTTCCAAGATCGCCGACAGGCAAGGAGACAGGACGGCGCGCTTCACCTGAAGGTCTGAAGCTTCGCCTGCGGGATCAGAGGCGAGGCAAGCGGTCTGCGGTGAGATCTGAGGAGAGCCGAAAGGCTGGCTATACTCTGCCTGCCTCCCCGCTTCCCTTCCCTTCCCCTCCCCTCCCCCAGGGACGGGGCTGACCAAAAAAAAAGAGCCCGACGCGGCGCACCTTTTCTTTCCTTGACGCGAAGACGGTTCCCTACTCCAGTTACTTTTCAACCTAACCACCGCCGTCGCCACCACCACCGCCGCCGCCACCGCCGCTCCTCCTGCTCTTGCCTCCCCGCCGCCGCCGCCGCCGCCGCCACCTCTACTACCCCGCGCTTCATGGAGCCATGGGCCAGGGCGGGCGAGAGCTGGAGAAGTGGACCCAGCGGGGCAGGGGAAGGGAGGACAAGACAGGCCGTGGGAAAGAACCGCACAGCGGAACCGGACGAAGAAGCGCGGAGTGGCCGCCGGCTAAACAGAGCAGGAGAGCCCCAGGTCCTCCACCTTCCCGGCGGCCCCTTCTTTGAGTGTGAGGTAATGGGAGAGGAATGTGCACACCGACCTCCCATCGGCCCCATGAAAACCATAGACAGAGCGAGGACAGTTTCTCCAAAAAGAACCATAGATGACAGGAACTTCCACCGGCCGTTAAAAAGGTCACGTGAGGAGCCCTGGCGACTATAGAGAACGAAGGGAAATGGGAGAGGCCCGTCCTTTTAACGGATAACGAGAGTTGATTGCGTATGTTAGGCTTTTTCTTTGGAATTTCCTCAAAAGCCTGTTTTGTCGGTCCACCGGTTAAGAGCTGGCAGCCTCAGGATGATCAGGACAAGTTTGCTACGTCTTTAACAACAGCATGTAGGCGAAGAAAACAGGTCGTGAAAACTACTTCGGGATAACCGTTCAATGTTTAGAAGCCCTGGCCTCTTTTGCGCTCGTCTAGCTAACGATGGGGATTTTTTTTTTTTTAAATTCTAGTATGGCAATTCAAAAACGCTCTGTTCTATCGATCAAAGGTTTTTTTCCCCCTTTTTAAAATTCTATCACACAAACTAGAAATGCATTACTTTTCAGCCCAAAGTCTCACCACTTCAAGTGCACTCTTTAAAAAAAAAAAGGAAACCGAACTACCGATTTAGAAGCTCCGGCTAGGCTATATGTCTTTCTTTGCATATAGCCAATTTTTCATGGGAATGAAGATTGACTGCGGTTAATAGCATTATGCACACCTCAGTGGGATTTTTTTTCCCAAACGTGCAGCAATATGCCTTTTAGACTTCTTCTGAAATTTTACAACATATACATTGCAGGTAATGTATAGCTACAGTTTACCTGATTGTAGAAAGTAAGGTGAACCAAATGGAAGAGAACTTTCTTGTAGCTTTGAAATACCTCGCTTTCCACAAAGCTAATCTCAGCTTCTTGTTGGCAATATTTCAAAACAGAGATCAGCCAATAAACTATAAGATTTACATAATGCTGCATCTAAGTGCATAGATTATTATTAATGTCATGCATTTGTGTACATGAAACTCTTCTATTTAAGACTTGTTCTGACTTTTTGTGATCTGATGAATATTGTTTTGCATGGACTTGTGTGTACTTACAAAAAAAATTGGTTAAATAATGTCACCAATCACCCAAGCATGAGCTGGGTGATTGTGATTGGTGACATTATTTAACCACTTTTTCTTCCTGTCAACTTCTGTTTCAATTGTCTTCAATTTTTCTGAAACTTATTGCATTTGTTAACCAGCACAAGAGAATTAGAATTCAAATATCTAATCAATTATCAACATAATTGATAATACCAGAATAATTAGGAAAGGTATATAATTTTGATTAAAAGATAAAATACTAAGGGCGTGTTCAGGCTACACATACTGAACGAAGGAGAAAAATTAAAATTTAGAGTCTAGTTAATATAAGCTTTAAAATAGCAATATAAAACAAATACGTATACATTTCAATTTTTCTGAAAACCAGGTTCTTTTCCAATAACATTTATTTGTGCATCATCTCTGCAGAATAATTAAGTTTTAACTTCATTATTCTCCTAGTTAGCAGTCTGATTTTATTTCAGTATTATTTGTTCTGTGATCTCATTAATTTTCTCTAGCGTTATAGTTGAAAGACATCAATTTTTCTTGATTCAGAATTTCAAATAGTCCAACTTTCACAGACATATACAATTGGAAAAAACATTTCTAGGACAGCATATCTTGGTTAGCATGCCTGCGCTTTAAATTTTAAAATCAAAATTTAAAGATTCAAGATAAATTTGATTACATAAAACTAAGTAAGTGTCTTTTTTTTGCAGATAATTAAATCAGCTATTTTCACGAAGATGCTGACAATACTACATATTTTTACTGAGATGTACATTCAGCTGAACTCATAGAAACTTCCTTTAGTAAGTATGCTTAAGGCTGCAGATTTAAATGACAAATGTAATTGTACTAGCAGATTGAATTGTAGAGCAGGCAAAATCTACTGCAGATGTTTGTGACACAGCATTTTAAGGAGTTTTCATAATTTGCATTGCTAGGACCACCTAAAATGATAAAGCTTGATTACTGTAGGTAAGGGTCACAATTCCTATATCCAGTACTCCTATTTGAGAAAATGACACAAAGCTGGAGGCTTTGAGTGAAACCACAACATACCAGAACACAAGATAAAATTAGGTATCCTGATTCAAAAAGCAATTTTGGGAAACAGAGTAAAGCATTCATAGGCTGCAAAAAGCCATCATATATTGTTTTTCATGCATTTTATACCTCCTATGTATTTCTGTAGAAGACAGCTTGCAACTCTGCTCCTGGGAGTATGGATTTTGGGACAAACTGAGGTTTCTGGGGACAATCCACAGGTCAGTCAGTCAGTCAGTCATTTCCCTTCCTCTTCCATGTAAATTGCTCCTTTAGGGACTGCTTTTTGTCTCAGCAGCATTTCATCCTCCTTTGCAGCCTGTCTACCTGACTAAACATATGACAATGGGAAGGATATAAATTCATTTCCTTTCAATATGCACAGAGTCTAGTAGGCTTCTCTCCAAATAATTTGCTGTATCCTTAATCTTGGCCCTAAAGCTCAAGGCTGGAATGTGGCTAAACCTGCAAGTTGACCTGCAGGATTAAAGCTTGTAGTGGACCTGATACCCCCCCCCCCCCCCAAAAAAAAAAAAAAAAAAGGGAATACTGGCCAGGAGAAGGAGAACTGGGCACCTAGTTTAGGTTAGATTGGGAAATGTTCCAGCAGGTTCATCTACAGGCCTGACTAGTGGACAGAATCTGTTGTCTCAGTGGGGTTTCAAAGTTCCCCTTCCATTTTTGAAATGGGCATATATTATCTACCACCTAGAAGGTCGGGACAGCATGGCTAAAAGTTGTTTTTTTCATGAATGGCATAGAAATCCTTCCTTTTCCCCCAGCAGAATTGAATCATCTGCAACTGGCTTGCCCTTTGGCAAGAGTAGTGCAATTTTACAAGAAGGGGATATGTCTGTGCATTAGGCTTGCGCTCAGGCCCAAAACTCTACAAAAAGTTGATCTTGCTCTGGGATAAAATTCTCATAGATGCTTCTGTTGGCAAGTCCTTCCAAACTGTGACTTCACCTCAGATTTGCTAATGGTACCTGTGGGGATGATGAGTACCATTGTATTATGTTAGAAAAATAGAGCAAAGAATTCCCAGATTGACTGCTAGTGAATACATGGCTATGTCTTTTCTGTTTTCTTGATATCAGTATGGGTGTGATTTGCGATTGTGATCATCCCAGTACTTATTAGATCTGATCCTCTTTAATAATACAATTATTACTATTTTTATTAGATTTATAAGGCTATCCAAATACAAAGGACTGTAAGTTACTAACAACACGGTCCCTTACATCTTTTTTAGAAATAAACCACTTGAATTCATTGAGTCACTTGTGAGCAAATATAGAACAAGCCTTAAAAAGTCTGATTTTATGTATAAAATTCTACTGAATCTTATAGAATATTGCTTCTAAGTACATAGAATTGCACTGTCACATAGAAAAAAATTATTCTGAACCCAGTGGTATTTGTTTGCAGACCAGAATCTTAGTACCTTTGCAGAATTATTTGAATTTAAGTAATTTTTGATATTATTATTAGAATTAGGGAGTTATGGGAACACAAATTCTTAGTTTTTCCTTTTTCTTTTACATAAAAATTGTGAAATCAAATGTAATTTTTGATTTCATATAAAAAAGATGTCAAGGAACCCTTGATGCTGCCCTAGAATATAAGAATTCTTGAGCTGTAGAGATGGGCAGCATGCTATAGAATCCATCAGGTTTATTGTATGTTGAGCTGAGAGCATATAAAAAGGGTATTTATTGCTGTTCATTGTTAATTGAGGAAGCTTGTACATTAGAGGAAATCCTCAGTTTAAGGTTCTTGTTCTATAATTGTCCTTTTAGAGCTAATGGGTTGATCTGAAAATGTGGCTTCGGGATTTTATTATATGTTTGCATGGTCTTTTCTACATTAATTCAAATAGCCTGTATTTTAAAATAGCTCTTTAAATATTTGCACAGAAATAAATGCATACATAAGCTGTACCTCAACTTTTAACTGTCACAACTGCTACACAAACTCTCACACAAGTACAAGCAAAAAGCCTTATACCAGAGCAGTCTGTTACAAAGAAAATACCCATCTTGTGCAAAAGAGTGGTACTTAAACTTTACACATGCAGGCCGGAAATAAGAGGCGCAAGAATTTGAACTTTTATCCCATTAGAGTTCGCATTTGTTATAGAGAAGTCATTGCAATTTTTGTGGCATGGCATCTTTGTTAATTTTGCTACAATAAATCTACCACATACTTGGGGTCCTTGTAAATCTATTCTTTAAGTTGCTTTCCTAGCTGAACTGGCAATAGTGCAATTGTTTTGTAAGTAGAACACTAGAATTGTGTAACAGAATAATGTAGCACTTAAATTGTTCCATTTCAAAAGTCTTCGTTGGCTTTTTAGTGTTGGATCTGCAACAGTAAAATGAGGGCAGGCATATTATTGGTAATAGGGAGTCATATTTAATATTAACATTTAACATATTGAACAACAGCATGTTCCATAGCAGATAGGGTTGTCTTAGAGAATTTTCTGTTTTATGAGCTTTATAGAGGGGGAAGGTTTTAAATGTCAAAGTGCAACAAAATTTTTATGATAGGAATCTACAGAGTGCTGTCAATGTTTGGACCTAAAATTGCAGAAGTTTCCAGAGCCATAAAGATATTGTGGCATCACTGATCTGTGGGACTTGCTAATCTTTTCAATAGAAGTTGACATGGTTTTATTATCCAAATAAACATTTTTCATATGTCCATTTTGATATTACTTTTCTTGCCTGATATTCAGTGTTATTGATAAATAAATTGCTTAACGCATTGTAAGCCGCCCTGAGTCCCTGGAGAAGGGCGGCATATAAATCAAATTAAAAAAAAAAAAAATAGAAATAGTAAGAGTTGTGTGTGCTTGGGGGCTTTGTGGATTGGTCTCTCTTCCCAACTACTAAAAATTGGAGCAACCTGAAGCTTAAGAAGAATTAAAAGTGAAATACAGATGTAGAGAATGATAATCTTGGATTACCTGCATGAGACTGGATCATGAGCATAATGGGAAACTCTGATAAAACTACACATACATATTAATATGAGCTGTTTAATAGTGGCATAATCTTCTTATTCTGTGAAGTCCTAAATGAAATCAGTAGGAGCAGAATTTCACCAATTACCGTTTGGATTCTTATTCTTTCTGACAAAATGACAAATGTATACAGTCTGGATGTTTTTGTTTATCTTATTTTAGCATAATAACTATAAGATTGGATTAAAAGAACCATTGGCTTCTAAAAATCATCAAATTACCTGTAATCGTGATGGATTAAGAGTATTATCACTGTCTTAACAGCTTGGAAGGGAAATATATATTTTAATACAGACTCTTCTCTTTGCCATTTCCATTTTTCCACACAGTTATAACCATTATTCTTATACAAAATCCTCCAAATCCTTTATTTACGTTTTCAGATGTTATATAGCACAATTTTATGCAATATAATGAACAGCATCACACCAGCTACAGAAAGAACTGTGCTGTAGTTGAAAACAATATCCTGGAGCACCAACATGGGCACAGCACAAAATTCACAACACTACAAATAACTTTGAAATGTATTTTAAAAATAGACAGCTAGAGACTGCAGAACCACTTATGATTCTAAACATAGCAGAATTGCCAGTGCAAGGACACTGGTTTATGAAGGCTGCTTCAGCCACTGCAAGTTCATAAGGAGCCTGAATGGGCAGGGCTTAGTGGAAGTAGTGTCATCTCCCCAACTTTTTCCAATTTGACAGTTTGCTTCAAGACAGATGGCTCTTGAGGTCTGTTGCAGGAATCCATTGTACAAATCAGTGAAGTAATGTCTAAAACTGTAAGATGAAAGGAAGGGGACTATCACACCTGCGTCAATGGTTCCAATTAGTAGGCACTGGGACATATCAAGAGAGCTAAACAAAATGAGACTGAAGAGTTTAAACAGGGATGAGCCTGAGAAAAATCTTTGTTCCATTGACAGATTATTAATAGTCTCTTAAGGTCACTGGGTTCCATGTTTTAATTCATCATCTTTTTTTACTTAAATGTTGCTTCTTACAAGAAACCTCCAATAAAAGAACCTTAACACTGTTCTGTACATGTTGTTTTCAGTCCTTTTAGTTTTGTTTCTAAACTTTTTCTTTTCTCTTCAATTTGGATACCTTCTTGACAGTTCCATTTTTGTTAAGGAGCTTCAGAACACGCTCTTTGTGATCCAAGACCTTCAGCATGGATTCTCGAGCCTCATTTATTTGATCCATTACAAGTTTACATCTCTGCATATTTCCCTGAAATATAACAAATATAACACATTGAATTTAAAATGTTAATACTTCAAAGTACTGCATTTTATCTTTAATCATCTTGAAACACCAAAAAGTACCGAAAATGAAGAACTGAAGTATTATTATAGCATATGAGAAGGAACATTGTTCTCATGTAACACGCCTCCCCAGTTCTTGCTGACAGTTTTCTAATACAACTGGTTCCTATAGAAAATATGAAAATTATTGCACACAGCAAAATTATAAATGATAACAAGGTAAATAATGACAGGTATTGTATAGGAAGCCACATGCCAACACCATAATTCTGTCCCCCAACCCCACATCCCCTTCCCCACTCTGCTTTTCACTAAAATGAAGTTTCAGATGTATTTATGCAGAGCCTAGGGAACTTCAGTTGAAAAAGATTCCCTTTCTTATTTTATAGTGTAGGTGAAAGATTCAACTGTGTTTAACAAGAAATGGACACCAGAAAGGGGAAAGGGTGGCCTGAATGTAAATGTATAGCACAAAAGCTCTGTAATAGTTTAGCATGCACGAATTTATGGACTGTATTATGTAATGCCATGCTTTGAATGTCTGATAAAAGAAATAATTTAGAATGGGTTGATAACAGGTTCTAATATCGGCCTAAAAAACAAACTTAATATCAAATTATTTCTTTATGATAACATTTGGTTGAGTACATGCAGCTTTATTTTTCAGATATTAAATATCTATTTATCCAAAAGATGTTCAGTTTTGATTTACAGTCCAGGAAAATATAAATTAAATCAGTTTGCTAAGAAAAAAAGGAACCAAATGATATGTAAATCTTCAATTTACATATTGATTACCTTTAACAGAAACAATTGTTTCGTCAAAAAAAAAAAAATCAAGGCTTTATTCTGCAGCTACAGCTGAGGCCAAAGAAAATTAGCAAAATAAATACAACTCACCTGTATCAATTCATTTATTTGATGCAAATCATCATCAGTTGCTGCCTTTTTCTTGGGGATTATGCCTTCTTGTAAGGAGGTGAGTCGTTCATACACATCATGTTCCAGATTAGTCTACAAAATATTAAAATTTGATAACATCAAAGCTTCACAACAGAGTACAAAATTAGAAATTCCAATTCAGTGTTTATCTGATTTCAACAGATTCAGTATAATTTCATTGCTTGCAGAACAGCAGCAAAGTCTTGATATTGATAATGACATCAATATGTTTCAAAGAAGGAGGAACACCCTAATTCACTGAATGGAAAAACATGAATTCTAACTGCCTACAGTGTAGAAACACTATACCACTCTTCCATAGAGACCCAAGCCTTCTCCATTGCTTTTAGTTCTTAATTCTCATATAACTACCACTTAGTATGTAGATTAAAATCTTGATTCATTTAAAAAAACAACTATGCCTATGTATAACAATCATATCTTGGTTTTCCTTTCTACACTTCTGAAATATAAAGACTTCTTTAAACCAGTGCACCAGAGGTAAGTTTTAAGCATTTGAACAAAATGTATCAGTATTTATGCCCGACTTAAAACCTCCCTTACTAAAGTTTTATGTTTATGTGATACAAATTTACCTGCCTCATTTTTGAAGAAACAGTCGTGGCAATTTGTGATAGTTTCTATATGTAACTTTTCAAATGATTTACTAAACAGCTCTGGAATTATTTTATACAGAATCAATATGACTTTCCCACTTACCAGCTGTAATAACTGTGCTGCACAGAGATGGACTTTCCATCCCTGTGCACGGCAAGATACACCTTTCTGATTAGCTATCTCTTGTAGCATAGCTTTCTTCTCTTCTAGAAGGAATGAGAGATGAGAAGGAAGCAAATAACCATGCAAAAAAGAAAATAGATTTTTATTTTTACAGAATAAAGAGAGACACACATTGTTTAGTAGAAGTATGTATAATTTATACATTGATTATATAATGGTCAACTTCAGTTATTGGAATGGAACAGTCTTAAAAATCAAATTCTGATTTCAGTATGTGAAGATGTTTTAAACAAAAGCAAAACCTCTATTCAGATGAAATGAGTGGGAGAGTTATTTCAATCTAGGTGGTAATGTTGATTTCTGAGGATAAAGAATGGTAAGAAAGGTATTGGATATGGAGCTGAAAGATGAATAAAAAAAGAAAAAATAAAGAGCAAGATGGTCACGTTGGACAGAACATAACACTGGCTTATGGCAGTGGGCAAGGTTGGCAGAATCATGTGACACTTAGAATAACTATTGTTACTTTCAATATACACTAATTGGCATACATTAAAATGAAATTTCATTGCATACAGCTCTCAAAGGGTCAGCACTTCCAATTTACACTGGGAGATCATGTACATTGGGAGGAGTATCTGGAGATGTGAAATGTGGGCTTCTTCATTCAGAGCCACTGTGGCTGGAGTTGCTGTGAATGCTGCTGTTTGGTGATCAATAAATAACTGGATGCCTAGATAGACTGCAATTAAAATTCTGCTATTCAGAGTATTAAGTAAGACCCAAAAAGGAGTGGAAAAAAATTGGTTACAACGAATTAGGAGAGAGCACTACCACAGAACAGTAACAGCTAAAGAAAGGAAGACATGTAGCAACTGACAGAGGTAGTGGACTGAATTAGATGAAAGACAGAGAATTAAGATGATTAGGCTGGAGAAGTGAGTTACATTGTGAGTAGAGCATGAGATAAATTCTCTCACTCCCCCAAGGAAAAAGGATAGCAACAGAACTCTGAAACGCTTTGTCTGGGTGAGAGCAAGAGAAATGGGAGATGAGACAAGGCAAAGACTAGTATAAAGCAAATGGTAGATCTATGAGTGGGTTAATGGAAGGTAGTAGGTTTGGTGTGGGTGGGTGGTTGTGTATCCATCCTTGTTTTATGTGGCCTCTTAGCAGATTCCCTTTCTCCAGGGTTGATTCCTGTTAGTGGTGATTGGGAAGAAGAGGTCACTCCTTTGGCCCCTACTATGTAGGGTGCTACAGGGATTGGTGCCGTCTTATTCAACAGCAGACTGTTGGGTGAGCTTATCTGTCACCAAGGGATGAAATATCAGAATACTGAAAATATCTCTGCCCCTGGCGAATTAAGCAATGCTATGGGTGTCATCCTAGTGCCTGGAGATTGTAAAGGTCTGGACAGGGATCAGCAGGCTTCAACTGAAACCTGCCAAGAATGAGTGGCTTTGAGTTTTAGGGCCTTCTACTTACAGGACTATGCCATCTTTGGTGGTGGATTGAGTTACACTGCCCCAAACAGACTATGTGCGCAATTTGGGGATCTTCCTAGACCCACGACTCCTACTTGATGAGTAGATGGCAATCGTGATTAGGAAGTTCTCTGCACAACCTGTCTTCTGTACCAATTAATGCCAGCCCTAGATTGTGAGGCCCCATTCATGCCCTGCTTACTTCCTGGTTGGACTACTGTAATGGGCTCCAACTGTGGCTAC